AACAACAACAACAACAAGAAGAAGCAGGTCAACATAGTTGGGCCCCTGGCCGGCTGTCGCGCGTAAGCGCTTAAATCCGGCCAGGGGCCCCCTGGCCGTGGCATTGCCGTACGGCAGTTCTCTCCTCTCCTGCCGCCGACCTCTGGTAGGGTGCGCGTGTCGACAGAAACCCCTGTAATTTACAGTGTTTTTTGGCCCTGTGACATTCAACATGTTTTTCCCATTTTTCGGATCTTGTGGCTCGAGATGGGTCAACATGGGCCAACATAGGCCTCAAGATGGACCAACATAGCCTCAAGATGGGCCAACATAGCCCCCAAGATGGGCCAACATAGCCCCAAGATGGGCCAACATAGCTCCAAGATGGGCCAACATAGCCCCAAGATGGGCCAACATAGCCCTAAGATGGGCCAACATAGCCCCAAGATGGGCCCACATTGCCCTCAAGATAGGCCAACATAGCCTCAAGATGGGCCAACATAGCCCCAAGATAGGCCGCCGACCATCAAAATATTCTACGTTTTACAATGTTTTTTTGCTGTTCCCATTTTTCGGATCTTTCGGCTCAACATGGGTCAACATGAGGCCAACATAGCCACAAGATGGGCCAACATAGTTGGGCCCCTGGCCGGCTGTCGCGCGTAAGCGCTTAAATAAACCAGCCCCCAGTCATCACCATAGATACAGTAGGTGTTATAAACCATTCCCAAATCGGTAGTTTATTATTGTTTTAACCACATTAGTTGAAAAATGTTGAAAGCAGCAATAAACGATGCAGAGATGCCCAAAGGGTCTAGGAAAAACCCGCTCCTGTTGCAAGGGAATACTCTTCAGGCTCCTGATCGACACAGGTCAATGATGGCCAATGCATGTGTTGGCAAGAAGAATGAGGCGCAAAAGGCTGACCCTTCACATCACATTGGAGGGTTTCATACTCCAAAACATCTCAAGACATCTCAAAACACCTCAGACCACCTTCGAACACCAGTTGGAAGAACCTCACAAGGCACGTGCGCGTTTGGTATCTTGTTCTAGTGGTACGTGGCAAGCCCGGCCAAGCTGAAACGAAAGCAGGCCAGTAGATTCTGCAGGATTCACATGTGGCAAGCTGAGCTGAAGTTGGTAGTTCTCTGGGTCTGTTGCGCCCTCAGTGTTGATCACAAGCACTTTGCTCTCAGGCCCCAATTCCAGCATCTTTCTAAGGGCTGCAGCATTGGCACAGCGGGACATCATGACATATTCCAGGAATCCAGCTGCGGCCCCTCCACATTCCCCTGCTTCAACGTGATGCCGCTTCAACAGTCGCATTCCATTCCCTGCCAGCTGGTCATCCAGACTCACAAAGGCAGTGACATGGGCCTCCAAGATAGGCCAGGCGATGCTGGAAGGTATCCCACAGGCCAGGCCTGCAATCATGGTCTCCAGATCCCCAGCCACCTCTGTGAGCTCACCTTTCTTGGCAGATTCGAAGCCACAGGCCGCATTCTTGGGCTCCAGAACCACGAACTTCGGCAGTTTTTGCGGTAAGGCGGTGAAATGACCCACCACGGCAGCGGCCATGGACCCTACGCCCATTTGCAACAGAACGTGGCTTGGATGGATTGGAATATCAATGCTGCGCCCCATTGTTTCCAATGACTCGTGAACCATTGCAGTGTAGCCTTGCATGATCCATTCGGGAATCTCCGTGTATCCAGGCGCAGTTGTGTCTTGCAAAACCACCCACCCTTTGTCCCGCCCCAATTGGAATGCCTGTGCCACTGTGTCATCATAGTTCAGGTCCGTAATCTCCGCTTGTGCACCCAAATCCAGCACATGCTGCAAACGCCGCTGTGCAGAGCCTTTGGGCATCAAAACCACGGCCTTTTGCCCAAATTCTTTGGCGGCCCAGGCCACACCGCGGCCATGATTTCCATCTGTGGCTGTCACGAAGGTGGTGCTGCCAAAACGCGCGGAATATTCGCGCTGAAGTCCTGCCAAAGCTGCATGCTCCTCAATCATTGGAAGGGCCAAGCGTTTGCACATGAAGCGAAGCATGGCATAGGCCCCTCCAACCACTTTGAAAGCCTGTAGCCCCAGGCGCTTCGACTCATCTTTCACGTAGACATCTCCCAGTCCCTGAACAAGACGAAGTCGTTCCAGAGGCGTTGGTTCCAAATTCAGCACACGGCGAACCCTCAGGGACTCCTCTGGCCCAAAGGGCCACCGATCTGCAGGCTGAATCAAAGCACTTCGCCTTGGGATGCTTTTCGTAAATAAGGACTTGGCACCTGAGGCTGTGACAATGACCGTGGGCCTCTGGAGCATGGGTGCCCCACTGAGCTCCACGTGAACTGTCTTGAGCCAGGTCTGGGTAGCACATGGCCGATGGGGCAAGCCATTTCCATGAACTATCCTTCAAAATCTTTGCGATTTGCTTTAAACAAACATGTTCTTTCTGGGGCTTCACATCTTCACCTATTCGGATACATTCCAAGTGCACAAAAGTGGTCCGCCCTGTTTCCGCCTGTCCTGGCAAAGCTTGAACCTGACTGGACAAAATCGTTCTCGCAAAACCATTCGTTCGTCTAAGCACCTAACTGTCTGTCTGTCTGTCTGACCATCCGTTTATCCATGTGTCTATCTTTCTGTCTGTCAGTCTCTCTCTCTCTCTCTCTCCCCTCTCCATCCGTCCATCCATCCATCCATCCATCCATTCATGCATCCATCCATCCATCCATCCATCCATGGCATTCTCTCTCAGAATGCCCAACTGGTTGGCTGGGGCAGCTACTCTTGGTGCGAAGCAACCTCGGAGCACGATCAGACAATGGTATCGTTCAGTCATATATATATACATATAGTGTCAACCCCGGATTAATAAACTATAGACTATGGTCTATTAACTAGGGGGGTACTCCTCCAATAGTCATAATCTGATACATAAATGGTACCCTCCCAATTAAACAGCCTAGGGGTTTATTAATCCAGGGTTGACATTACAGCAATTATTTACTTGGGGCAGATCAGGGGTTGGTTTAAACGACTGTGCTTCACCGGTTAACGCTGGCAAAGACGTGCCCCAAATGGACATGTGAGCCATATGAACTTCATATTGATATATTTCACAGTCAACTACGTAATTACGTCACTTGTTTGGGGGTTGGCTTCCTGGGGTGAGTCATTTTCCTGGCATCCAAAGTATGTCCCTCTGCAAATTCTCAATGGCACCTCCCCCTGGTTGGCACGGCAACTGAGTCATTGACTACCTCGGGCTTGGAAGGCGCAGAAACAGCCGCTTCCGACCTTTGCCAGCTATTTGGGCACGGCATCAGAATGGTGGAACCCCCCCACACCATGGACCATTGGATCTTGAAACAGGTTGAAACCATCGCTTCGGGGACCCCCAGAAGTCACTAAGACTCGCGCTGCCTCGTGATTGCAACCGCCTGACATAGCTGCTGCTTGGACTTGCCTCCGAGATTCCTGAACTTTTGGGGTGGCTAAAAAAGATCATTGATGGCGATATAACCATCCCCCAGTAATCCTAATCATATCTCTAGCAATAGGCTCTAGCAATGAGTAAATGAGGTCCATATTTAAACGATGTTACACATACCTCGGCTGATAGCCACCCCAAATCCAACCTGGTCGCCAACTGTTGCACCAGCCTGCCAAAGAATCTCTGACATTGCCTCCCTGTGATCATATTCTTTGCCACAGATTCAACCCAGGAGGTTTTTGCAGGCGCCTTTCGAAGCATGTTCAAAGGCATCGAGCCACATTCGGCCCAGGAACTGTCTTACTCTTGTTTTGCACAAATGTTCACCCCACTTAGTAGCAGCTTCATAGCTCCTGGCAATATAGTAATGCTTATCCCATTTATGTCTTTTACAACGGTCATAGTCGTGGTCATCAACAAGTTCTCCCCAGTTCCGGGTGTATAATCTTGTTCTTTTACCACCAGTCCCTGTTGAAACGCCATGTCTTTCTGGTTTAAACATGTTTGTGTTTGCGCAGTTTAAGCATCAAACCTCCAAAGCTGTCACATGTCACACATTGCGATGAAGCTCCAATCTTTTTCATCCTGCTCGGCTCCCAATGCCATGCTCCGGCTTGTGCCATCGCTGGCCATGCTCCTTTCGGAAAGGATATATTCTTGGTGACACATGGGTTCAGCACATACATAATCTCTTCCCCCGAATAATCAACACCAGAAAGCTGGGTGGAATGCGGTCCATCTGTTTTTGTCCCATTTTTGGAGTATTGATTCTTGGGGGGAATGGGATTAGCCAAGATGCAATCTGCACACCACAAAGATTCAGAGTCTCTGCGAGATTGCCCGAAAGCTTCATGAGACGAATGTTGGATAATGTACGATAATGTTAGATTGGCAAAAATGGATGCAAATCTGGTGCGCAGCATGTCCAAGCAAAGCTTGCCTTTGCAAGGATTGCCGGGGAAGTGAATGTCAGACGGTTCAGGATGGGCAGTCGAAGGTTCAACCTTGACAAATGCGCACTGTACATGCTGCACGCGAACACCCAGCACAAAGCACAATATGCATGCGGACAACTGCAGGATGCCAACTCATTAGACAGTAGGAAAGACATGATTTTGTGGGCAAATTACAATAATTCACTAGCCTGAAATAAGACCATATTGGATCATATTGGGATAATTCCCCGAATCCTAACCATTATTCCAGGGTTTGGGAGAACAGTGAGGTCGTGATCAAATTTACCCAGATTCATGTAGCTGATATGACCAAGCCATACCAGCCCCTGCTTTTCGGATCACCCCTGCCGGGTGTTATCAACCATTCCCAAATGGTAGCTTTATGGCAGCCAGGGTTTCCCACATTAAGTCACTATGAATCACTAGTAATCACTATGAATCACTCTGAATCACTAATAATCACTATGAATCACTATGAATCACTATGAATCACTATGAATTACTATGAATCACTAATACATAAGATGAAATCACCCAACCCGATCTCTTTATCGCTGAGAGACTTAGCTCCCTTCGCCCCCAGCTGCGGCGGTCCCTTCCTCTTCGGTGGTCCATGGCTTTCCGGTGCCTGGCGAGGGAGCTTGGCTCAGCGAAATGGGCTGTGCTACAGGCGTTCTAAGGGGAGTTCCAATGGGTTTTTGATATTGATTGATATATTTATATTATTTTATATTTATCAATCTATCTATTTATTTACTTATTTATTGAATTATTCATTTATATTTATATGTTAAGTTGCTTTTTCCATGGAACATTCTGGTTTAAGCATCAACCATCAGAGCTGTGATGAAACTCTTTGGGAAGGTGAAGAGACCAACATGATGTGGTTTCTTTTTGCCAATTTAAGCTGCATCCCTACAGGATGGGGCTCCAGTTCGTTAGCTACGTTGGTTTATAACTATAATAACAATAGTGTATGATACTTATAACTAAAATATAGATGGGTTATAAACCAACTTATAACTGGGAGGCCCCATCCTGTATCAGCCACATGCCAATGCCCTGCTTCATCCTGCTGAGGTGCAATTCTGTATGACCACCAAAATGTACTCGGTCTGGGTGACACAAATTACCTCAGTGCCCTCCTTGGTCCGAATGCGCACCTCAGAAGCGCATCGCAAGGGTTCTGGTCAAGATTCTTAGGTGATAACGCCAGTTTTCCAGCCCACTGGTACCCTTTTGGTAATTTAACATAGCTATGGAAAATGGACCATTTATAGATGTTTTACCTATTAAAATGGTGATTTTCAATAGCTATGTTAGTTTACCAGAGGGTAAATGGAATTATGAGACTCCGACTGATTATCTACAAGACTGGCGATCAAGAAATATTGAACAATCCCATCAACTGTCCATTAACTCATCCTAATTTGACATCTAAAAATTGAAAAAAAAATCGGATGAGACGTACAAAAAAATCGGATGAGATGTACAACTACGTGCAACTCGATCCTATAAATAAATATAAATTATACAGTAAAGCATATATTTCTAGCCCTCAGTCAGTCCGATTTCTTCCCATTTCACTCCCATCTTTGCTTCGGCACGTTGGCCAATTCGCTCTCGGCAGGCCCTGTGAGAAGTTTGCCCAAGCACTTCTTGCAGTGCGCAACGAAGTCCTAGGAACCATCGATGACTTCGAACCAATGATGATCCATGTTTTTTTTCATGGCTAGTAATGGCTGGTAATGGTCAATACTGGTTCAATTATCATTAGATCATATTAGATCAATATTAATATACTTGTTGGTCAATATGGTTAATATGGTTAATATGGTTAAAATTGTTAATATGCTTGATAATGCCTGTATTAATTGGTTGATATTGGTTAATCATGGTTGATATTGCTTAATGATGTAGGATGTTTCATAGGTCATACTCTCCAGTAATCAAACATGGCAATGGGAAACCCCCCACCAATGGACAACAAATTTCATGGGAAACTCATCTGTAAATTGGGGATCTTCCATGGCAATATTTTATTACCAGAGGGTGATGAGATTTAACCAACAAAATGAGATTTAAGCCTATGGGAATATATGTGGTTTCAACGGATTGAATATAAGAGAAAATCTGGAGGACCCGGTTGTTTTCATCCCAACATATGCGGGCGGGGTATGTCCGCAAACTTCCCCCAAGGAATCTGGGGATTTTGATCAGGAAAAAGTTCGAGTTTCTACCAGAACACAAGTGGATTGTCCTCAGTTCGGAAGATGCTTTTCCTACTAGAACTTCCCATTGGGTTCAATCCGTTCCAGCTTAGTTTTCTTCATCGCTACAAGCATCGTCCGATCCATATCATGTCAACCCAGGATTAATAACCACCAAGTTTATTGGTCATGGAGGGGTGGGGGGTCAGAAATCGTGATACCTTCCTGTACAGTTCTGAGGATGTGGCGGACATCAGCGCAGCATAGGTGACTGCCCTTGAAAGCTGATTGTTTGGCACGGATTAATGACTGGCCTGTGGTGGGTTGTACCTCCGACAAATGATATGTGTTCAAATAAGTTGAAATACATGTAAGTATGCATGAATGATCGTGCATGCAAATCAATCAGGAGATCAAAGCGCCCATGGATGTTCCCCGAAACTGCAACACAGTCTGCTCTGGTAAACTAACATGGCTATGGAAAATGACCCATTTATAGATGGTTGACCTATTAAAATTGTGATTTTCCATACAGGATGGTGCCCCCCAGCTATAAGTTGATTTATAATCCCCATGAACTACAGTTATATCTACCATAAACCATAGAATTCAGCCACTTCTTTTTAGGCAACTGACCGCGGCAATTAACGGGGCCTGCCTTTCATAGGGCATGCTCTCATGCCACTTCGTAGGGATCCCATCAGAGTTGATCACGACAAAGCCTGGCCGAATCTGTGAAACCATCAGCCCGAATCATCTTTGGTTATATCCGCATTATATACTATATACAGTGTATATATATATTATTATATATTATCATGATATCATTATATATCCACAGTTTCAGATTATCAAATTATGTTTACATAATCACGTAAAATCCCCATGGCTTGTGTCATCTTGTGTCCACCAAGCTGCCGATCACCGTCGGAAAGTCGGTGAGAAATTGCTTCAGGACCACGTCGACCTCTGACGTTTGAGCGCCCGCCATGCGTTTGGACGGAACGAACTGCGCCTCTCTTGGCGAGAACAGCGTCGACAATTTCCCGTCCCGTCTGAGCCAACAAGGGAGCAGTGGGAGGCACGAATCCAAGACATCTTAGTTCCAAGATGTTCCAAGGATATGGCTCGACAATGCTCAAAATATTTCAAAATGCTGAAAAGATACCGCTTTAACATGCAGAATGTCTTGCAAAGGTCACAGCTTGTTGGAAATCGCATCTTGCAGCATTCAGATATCTTAAGGATTCTTAAGGTATATCAAGCCAGTATCGAAGCAGGGGCCTGAGATGCCAAAGTGCCATCACTTGGCCTTAGCTTTTCGATTGCTATCTCGATGCTGCTGAATCTCAGCAAGTCCAGCTTTCCCTTGAAACCAGCTCTTCCCCCATATCAATACTATAGCAGTTAAAACATGAATTTAATATAATTTACCCCATAATAAAAATGCTGTTTTTATGACTAAATTCCCAAATTTCCTCATGAAAAATATGGTGGTTTTACACTCTAAGTGCCGGACCCTCGCCCCATGCTCGCTGCTAGAGCCTGGCACTTGAACGGTTGGAGAGATGAATCATAATACTCATGCATATATCATATCATATATGTACATTTGGATCACTTTGCGGAAATACTGGCAAAGAGTGGGTCTATGTAAGTTTGCGTTGCTTTCTTTCTCGGTTGTCCGCTGAAGGAATTTCGCCCAGTCTAAACCAAGCTACCTTGCCATAAAAGCATCATCAAATATGACATCCTCGCGAATCATGCCCACCAAAAAGTGGAGATATGACCTGCCAAAAAAACACACCTTGGATCCCAGGAGCTTATGGAGGTCCATGAGCCCCAACTATTGGTACCAAAAGTGGAATGTCCTCGCCTGCTGACCATACATCTGCGCAGTGTTCCCATGGTGATCCCGAAGGTCTACGATCCTGATGGTTGAGATGGTTTGTTCCGTAGATCCACAGATGTTGAATAAATGTGGAATAAATGTTGACTAGATGTTGAATAGATGTTGAATCGTTGATGGATTTGAGATGATTTGAGAGGATTTTGGGGTGTCCGCAAGTTGAGGCTGCAATTGTTATCCCAAGAAAACCGACGGCGGATTATGACAGAATGGAGGAAGCGAAAGGCCTCCAGAGTGCAGGACTAGACTGGTCCGTTGATGTCCGTTGCAATGGCTAAGGGCTTGGCTGCCTCCCAGCCCGCGCTGAAAGCCAATTCAAGACCTGCTCAGGTGTATGGCTGATGAGCCCTGATTCGCACTAGAGCAGTGTCAAGTGCAGAGTGGTTGCAGAGTGGTAGTGTAGGTTGGTTGATATCTGTGCTATCTCAACATGAAAACCGGCATAGTCCTCTCCAAACATACTTTTTTGCCATCAAACAAAAGGATACTTTTGAGCTGCTCACCTCACATATCACTGACATTTGGAGCTTTCCAAATGAAATCGGGTTCCCCCCAAATCATCTAATTTTTTTTAAAGCACCGTCTGGTGCCAGGGGGGGGTGGAACATAAAATGCCAGGGGCCTAAGGACAAAATGCCAATAAAATGAGAGGGCATAAGGTAAGATAGGAAAACCCAAGCAAAATACCATGGACAGGTACAAAAAGAACATGACGTCAGGCCCCCTCCACCTGGCAACTGTTGGACGTCAGGCCCCGGCATTTGTTTTTTTCGTTATATTGATTTTTATATTTCCTTAGATCGTTGACAGACTTTTGTACCGTATGATATGCATAATCATTACAGTTTCAGAACTTAATTCATCTCAAGCATTTTTGTTATACATTAGGATTATAAAGGATTATCGTTCTTAGTTACGATCATTTCATCTTTATTTGTCATTATGTTTCATATTGATTTTTCACAGCACGCACTCCTACTGTTTCAGTTTCATATGCTCCATAATATCCAAGTTTCCAAATCTCTGGAAGGTTTCACAAAATGATCAGACCGTTCACAACTGTGCATCTTTGCTATCATGCTATCTCTGTCAGTTAACTTATGTTAACTTGATGGGTTGGGCATCTCAAAAAATAAAATGCTCCCACAAAATAAAGTGCTGGGGTCTGACCCCATTTTATTTTCAGATTTGCCTGTTTTTTTTATTTTTTTTAAGGGGCTCCTGCCCCCTCATTCTCTTTAGGTACACCAGAGGAGGATTTTTAAACGATTTCGTATTGAAACCCATGGTTTTGGGGATCCCCCACTTTAAGAAATCCCCATAGAACCTCACAAGGCCTCATGAAAGCCAGCACGACCAGCCAGGTGTAATGCACTCCTCCCGGCCAGTGATGCAGGCGGTCTGGGTTTGTGTAACATGGCCCAAAATATCCAACGACTGAAAATTTTCAAAGTGAACAATCGTGATAAAGCCATGATAAAATAAACACACCATCTGGTTATTTAACATAGCCATGGAAAATGGCCCATTTATAGATGGTTTACCTATTAAAAATGGTGATTTTCCATGGCTATGTTAAATAACCAGATGGTAAATAAACCATCTGATTTGGGAGTTCAAACTTTTTTGCCCATCATCTGAGATCATCTGGGCGGCGGACTGCCCTTTTCGATTCAGGGCGCCCACCTGGCACATTGGGTATGGGTCCAAATTAGCGGACCCCTGACTAAAAATGGATGGTTCATGTTTTTGTTCCTCCGCCCAAGGTCTCGAGTCTCAGTTGGAGCCAGGAATGCGGGAATGCGCATATAATACTTAAGAAAATATAAGAAAATGGATGGTTCATACAAAACAATGACCAGGTGACCAGCATCCGAAGATTTCCGGATCAGATGCAGAATTTTTATGGCGCCTCCGCCCTGCGTTCCACCAGCAAACGGCAAATCTCCGGGCCGGGCCTCGGGCGCACAGATGGAGTTTCTGGTCGATTTTGGATGGGAATTGCATGGGAGTTACCCAACAGAAATATGCAGAAATGGCGATTTAGGATGATTTAAGCCACAAATATGGGGATATCATTGATTTCAATGGATTGAAAGAAGATCGATTGTACTTGATTCTACCTCAAATATAGGAGGTTCCTGCAGATTTTCCCTGACGCCAATTCTGGGAGGCGAGGGTTTCCACCAAAAAAATGAAATGCACAATTGTGTATATTATATATATATAATATAAATATGTGCGTGTATATTAATATACATGTTTGATCACTACCTGACTGGATGCAAAGAAAAGGCATGCCCAGCCCACCCCGAAAAACCTGGAAAAGACTCCCTGTTTTCCATGACACGCGGGGGTGGTCTTTGCCACCCAGTCCCATTGGACTTCCAAGGGTTAGTCCTCCCAGAGCAACCATAGATCCTGTTCAGCCCCTCATCTTCACCTTGTGCGTGGTTGAAAGAAGGCGGTCACAAAAGCTCCGTTGAAACACAAATCATATCATACCACCACTATTGGCTCAAAATGAAAATCGAAGGTGATCATTACACATCATATCATTATATAAAAAATTATATAGCATACTCTGGCACTGGACTTACGCCGAAACATTGTGATGACAGGTCGCTGCAAACGTGTTCTCATAGCTGCATAATGCTTCCAAGTTGCTGTTGAAGCAGGCCAATGCCTCAGATGGCCCCAAAGCCGGCCCTCTCTTTCCCCCCAGCACACATGACCTTTACGCATGCGTAACAATACATTGAAAGATCCCATTGAAGTTGATTCTGCCATTATATAAATATCAACGACACCCCCATAAGCCCATAAATATCATTCATTAAATCCATGTCTTTAGCGCTTAAACTTAAACCACAAACCAACCCATCACCCACCCCACCAAGCTGCTGCTACGCTGACTGCTCGCCAGCCATCTCTCTCACAGAAGCTCAGCGAGTCATCGGCCACTTCGAGGCAGGTTAGGAGTGCGCGAACCACCTTGGAATGATTGGCCCTTAATACCAGGTAGAATAATCCCATCCCCCTAACACTAAACAGACCTCATTGGCGGTTCCAAATAAGTTTAAATCCACCAAAAAAAGGTTTATGCGAGGTGTTTGGTATTATGTATTGGGGGGGGACTAGGGGTATTTCCACGCCATATAATCTTTGGTGTAAGATTGATGAATAGTGCCGAACTGTCGGGGCGGGCATGTGAATTTCACTCCCATGTGTATGGCCGCTCAAAAAATGATCCAGATTTGGATATAAATATCCTCAACACTTTGGGTATGTCTGAAAATGGGATACAGAGCAGAACCCCCATGTATGGCCACTTAGGAAATATGATGATGAACCCATTTTCAAACAATCCCACTTTGGAACCTCTACAAAATTGGCCCCAAAAAAACGCAATATATAAATGGACCCATGAGTCAAAACAATGTACCCCCGAAAATGGGATCTTTTGGTGTTTGCCACCTGCCTGCTTGTGATATGATAACAGTACTGCACGAGATGATTGTTAAAACACCCTCTGCTGTTCACTGTTTAAAGGATGCTTATGTAACTTACATCTCTTGTCCTACAACATGTTTCTAGGTGCCATTTTACTCAATCTTCGTTTTTTTGGTGTGATAACTGATAACCTTCAAATTCATCAGCCACGGTCCATCACTGTTTTACGTTTCTTGTAATCCAGTGTTCTCCAGCTTCTTCACCTGAAATCTTTCAAGTCCACACCAGGACTCACTGGGTTTGATTTTAAACGTACCACTATGTACCACTGGAATTTAATCAGTGAAAAATCGACGTTTCCCGTGTTCCGAGTTCCATAGTTATTTCCCTGGATCCAATGGGAAGGACATCTCCCAAAAACGCAAACGCGAATTGACAGCACAGCTGCGCGGATTGCCGCCTTCTTGGAACTGTTGAAGGCCTCGGGTGGCATCACCAGCACCGTGGAGGCCTCCCAGGTGACACCGAAGAAGTTAGAGCTGATTACGGACGTATCAACCACCAAACAAAACACGTTTACAAGGGTATCAAACCAAACAAAAGTACCAAAAAGTGCCAAAAATGAGATATTGGGGGCTTTATCAACTAACAGACATCCACTTTTTTCAGGGCTTAATAAACTATCGGGCCATTTCTTTTGGGATCACCGGGGACGGATCCCAATGGGCTACGACTCGCCTCGCGCTCCTCCAGCAGCACCTCCTGCAGCAGGCGGTGCTCGTCCGGACGCGGCCCACACCAGACCTGCCTGGGCCAGGGATGTATGGAAACCAAACAGGTTCAACACATAAAGGGACCTATATATCTTATATGTAACTTATATAGAACTTATATATGTATGTATGTATGTATGTATGTATGTATGAATTATATTATATTATATAATATAATATAATATAATATAATATAATATAATATAATATATACTAAATTATATATAATTATATTATATACAACTTATAATATTTAAACAATGTTACAGCATATTACACCATCATACTGCCTAATCTCTAATGGATTCTAATGGGTTCTTCTTGGTGATTCGTAAGTATTGTGTCACTATCTGAGTTGGTCGATTATAAATTAACGACAAGACGCAAATTGAACCAACCAAAAAAATGGTGGATATGATTAAAGGATAGCAAAAAAATAAAGGATGGAACTGCCATGAATTGTTTCAGCCCACCAACTGACCTGAGATGTCGGGGTCGTCTGGCCCCAGGCCGTGGATGATCGCAACTGTAGGCTGCATGTAGGACCTGTCCTGTCTTCGAAAGTTGCTCGAAAAGATCCATGGTTTCGATGGTGCACACGGCAACACGAGGAACTGGCATCCTTGGACGTGCGTCATTTTTGGTATTAAAAGTAATGTTGAAAAATAAGAAATAATAATTTAAATAAATAAATTATATCATATGTTCATTACAGTATAGATTCCCCCAAATGGTGGATTTTTTTCGAAATATACAACCATCTTCAGCAAATCCAGGCATCCAAAGTTCATCACCATACTTCTCCCACAAGTCTTTCAAACAGAGGTTCTCTGGTTTTCGCCGCCGGCGTCGGGACAGGGAGCTCCCGCGCTTCCGATGCGTGGCCAAGTCCTTGGCCCCCAAGGGGTCCGAAATCATGGCGCGGCGGAGGCGAAGGTGCGCCAGGTGAGCCGAGAGCCAAATGTCGTTGTGCTCGCTGCAAGGAGAGCCCCGCGCTGGAGCCTCCAACCCTTCCAACATCGCACGTTGCACCAGAAGCCCCAGAAAATGACAAAGGACGGGCCCTCCGACCACCTCAACGGGAAATGATGAGTCGGGGTTATTTTTTCCAAAAGTTAGGGGATGGAAAATCGAAAAAACACGGTGTTGTGGCCCCACTATTGGTCAATTCTGTAGTTTGTCAGGTCAGCCACAAATACTACAATAGTATGGGGCACAACCAAACCCTGCCGCTAAGCACTCGGCACTTTTGAACAAGCGCTTCAAATAGTCAATATGATGTACATGGAACATAGGGTTTTACTGCAGGTGTTTTTACACCCCCCCTCAGGCGAGCAGAGACTGCGGCGAGACTGCATCACCGATGAACGAGCTAACCCTCGCGGGTAGCCGGTTTGTTTTTATTTGGTTTTAATGCTTTTATGAATTTCTCTAAAAAGCTCAAGCCTGAAAACCCACGTAGCAGCGCAAGGGAAGGCAATTTACCATGCCACATCTTGCAAAAGGCTACACATCATACCTACCTATCGGTTCCAATAGATCCAGCGGCCGCCGGCCCCATCTCGGAAATACCACGCTCCCCGCCAGTAGCTCCATTCACGGCGAGCACCGTAATGATCTCGATTCCAACTAGAAGAAGCATCAGGGTGACCTGAGCTGGATGCCTTCGGTGACGGGCGCACTTCTGGCTCCCGAAATGGTTTTGCGCCGCTCTTTGGAGCTGGTGCTTCTGGCATGAGAAATGGCGCAGATCCGGATGAGGCTGCCGCTTGCGCGGAACTGGATGTGGCCGCTGTTGGTGTTCTCGAAGCCTCCTCGTCATCAGCCTTTCTTTTGCGTTCGGCCTGAGGGTCGGCCTTTGCAGCTACGCTCTGCTTCTGTTTCCTGCCAATGTTTTCAATGACCAAAGGCAAATTGCGTTCATACACACGATCCAAGAAGCCCTGGGTTCCATCTGTCCGGACATCTACAATCCCTGCCCAGGTGAGCAACTGCTTGTAGGAGTTTTTCTTGCAGATGTATTCGATATACTCTGCCTCACTGAAGACGTGCCTCCGAAACATGAAGCCCCACACCTTGGTCCACTTTTGCTTATACTCAAAAGGGAATTTTGGTGCCAGGGAGTTGGTCCTCTTCGTGTCCTTGGTGGCGGCAGCTTTGTCATCATGCTTGTAAAAGCATTTGTCACCTCGCCTGCATTTGCCTTGGGCGTGATAAATGCATGGGGTCTTTGCCATTTCTTCCTTTGACATCTTCTTCCCCTTATCATCCTTGTTACCCTTTGAGGGTGATCGAGTCCTATTTCTTCTGGGGGATTGAGTTCGTGACTTGTCATCCTTTACATGCTTGAATGGACATTTCTTCCCCTTATCGCATTGGCCTTTCTGGAAATTATAGCAAACTTTGTCACCTTTGCTCCTTTCTTGAGACCTACCACGACTCGGGGAACCCTTTCGGTTGGGGTTGCCACGACCATCGCCTTTGGCGGGTGCAGCTTTTGTGTCCTTCGGACTACCGGCCTTGTTCTTCTCTGCAATGCGGTTATGGTTCTCTCTCAGCCTTTCTCTGTCGATCAGATTCTTCATGGACTGATGGAGGAAACCGTAAGACTTCTCATGGGCCTTTTCGGATGCGCGTCAATGTCGTATTTCAGCAACTGACTGGGACGGATCTGCCTAAGAAGGATATCTCCCAACACGGCATCCTCAGGAGTAGTAGCCATACCTGGGAGAGTAGGAGTAGCGTCCCATTTGTTGACAAAACTTCTCAAGTCCTGGACAGTGTCGCCTACTTTCACAACACCCAGTAGATCTTCAACTCTGCAAAGACTACCTGCTTCTTCTGATGTTTTGAAATAGTCCTCAAACATGAGCAATACGTATCATCCCCTGACTTGGATACCTTTTCGGGATTGCTGCTCCTTATGGTTCAGGATCCTAGTGGCAAGATCTCCGCCGGCTGAGCGCGTGAGCGCTGCTGATAGCTTTGTATCCAGCGTGAGAAACTTTCCGGGATCTTGAAGCTTCTGCTCGAGCTGTTCACGCGTGCAAGACTGGTCATACACCTCGTTTAGCCAAGCCCAAGCCTCATCTGGACGATCAGGACAGCTTTTGACTTCATCCCTTACATGGTTCTTCCAATTCCTATATGATTCTGGTGCTGGCATGTTGTTCAACTTGATGACTTCGGCTTCCTTAGTCTTTGGTTTATCCTTTTCATCCGGCTTTCACCAATTCAATAAGATCTGAAGCTCCCATCATCTGTTGTTGTTTGCCTACACTCTTTGGGGAGTCATTTGGGGGAGTCTTGATTGGCTCGGTTGGAGTCATGAAACCTGATACAGTCGGCAAATGAGGCTGGTCATTTCTGACAGCTGGCTCGAGGGGAGCGCCACCTTTGAGCAGCTGGTATAATCTTGCCTTGGCCTCTTGTGCCAACACACCAGGTGACTTGATCTCTAAAATTGGCTCGTTCTCGGCTTTTGCTGCGGATGCATCAGGTGCTCTTGGAGTCGCAATGTTGAAGGTGGGCACACCAGCGTTGGTGGCTGGCTCAGCTTTCGGGACGGATGCTTTCGGCACGGATGCTGGTTGCACTTTGGCAACATAACTCAGCTGTTCCTGCAAATCATCAAGCTGGTCCTGAAGGCTAAGGTTTTGTGCAGCTGCTTCATTGGTCTTTTCTGACATTTCCCGCTTGTAGTTCTCGAACTCTACTTTCAACTGAATGAAACGGGCTTGCTCAATTACAACTTGTTCCTCAAATTGCTTTTTTGCGCCAATTATGGTAGTCCTAGCATGTTCCACTGTTTGTGCGCAGGAGGCTTCAAATTCCTTTGTGATATGTTGCCTTCCCCCTACAATCTTTAGATCATGCTTGGTGTTTGCCTCTGCCTTGAACTCCTCAACCCTGGCATCATGTGTTGCCTGAGCCTGATTCAATCTGACCTCTAATTCGTCACCACGCTTTTTCCTCAGCTATCGCGGCAATTTCTTTTGCCTCTGCGTCCTGCAACCTTTGCTCATACTCTTGTTTTTGCTTTGTGAGCCTGTTTGGCCAATCATTTTTAATTGAGTCAACCACTCCATGCACTATCTGAAGGTGCCTTTGTTCAGCTTCCCTCATGACTTGCAATGCGTTTCCACTTGTGATCTGTGCAAGGTTGTTTTGTGTGAACGTGAAGTATGCGACCACGGGCTGATAGATTGTGTCCTCATCCATGGGCTCAGAGTTGCCTCCGGCTGTGCTAGGCACAGCAACGGGTGGACCTGACCCTGGGATGGCGAGAGGAAGGTCAGTTGGGGTCCCAGCAAAGTGGTGAGACTGCGGCTGATAACCTGTAGTTGATCAGGTCAGCCACAAATACTACAATAGTATGGGGCACAACCAAACCCTGCCGTTAAGCACTCGGCACTTTTGAACCAAAGCTTCAGGTAGTCAATATGATGTACATGGAACATAGGGTTTTACTGCAGGAGTTTTTACAAATTCCAATGTTTATTGGTTCCCCACTGCTGGTCCAGTGATTTAAATACGCATGTCAATCCATGTCACATATGACATATCTTGTACGTATACTATGTTAACTTATATCCGGTAGTTCCACCATGTTCTACCACATCAATGAACATGTGCTAAGTAATGTATAATAATGTTCAAGCCTAGTTGTTTAAAATTTTGGTGCTCTACCCACGGTAGTTTTAGGTGCTATCTGGTTACAATCAATCGAGGATGTGAAACCACCCAAAATGATCATTTTGGCGGTTTAAGTCCCAAGTCTTCCAAGTGTTCCTCACCTTTTCTATATATGTCTGGCCTAAATTCTATAAATCCTCATGTTTTCCAACTTTTTTCCCATCCTCAGTGGGTTTTTCTCCCGCCTCTCCCCTGCGCAGATTCCGCGCCAGCGCCGGCCCAACTGCCTCCATGGCCGTGGCATCCTCCCCTCGCAGCGCCAGCCAGCCGTGCGCCCCCACGGCCGCGCCAGGGGTGCCAGCAGCGAAGCGGAGGAGGTTGGTGAGGAGCTCCTGGGGTCGGGGATTTATCTCTGATGTTTGCAGATCGTTGCATGAGATTTATCAAAAGATGTTGGGGATGTTATGTCTCTGATTTTTACATCAGATCTATCGAGATGTTTTGGATTTGTTTCATAGGAATTATCCACATATGTTTGGATTGTTCATGGGGTTTACCAACGTTTTGGTGCTTCTTTCATGGGATTTACCAACAGAGCTAAAGGGAGAGTTAAGTTAAACCAAACATTTTATGGGGGTACATATGGGATTGTTTCATGAACTTGAGATACTTTTTGGGGAGTGGTAGCTGATAATGATGGCTTTACCATCCATTTATGACTATTCCAACAGGGTAAATGATGGCAGACCATTTTAAGCCAATATGGATGGATTTAGGGGTTGGTCTTCCGTTCATCGAGGTTTGCAGTAACTCTTGATAGTTTCCGACTAGTCACTGTAGAGTATCTCATATCTTCTCTGGCTATCTATAGCTAATGTTAGCAAAGCACTAGCAAACCATCCCCAATTTTACCATTTTGATGGGTGGGATTGAAACCATCAAATTATGGGTGGTTTATGACATTGCTTTACTAACATTAAACATGTCGTGATCCAGCCCACTCCTGGTGGTAGAAATGGTCGTCATCCACCGCCAAAAACCAGGCCTTGCGGTTGTGAATCACCTGGGGGCAAGCTGAGGGGAGGAAAGCATGGCTGGTTGAGAAACAACGTGATGCTCATTAATTAAAGAAGAAAAACATAATCAACTATTGCACAGCGTGGTCCAGTACATGGTACCTTCCTATACATTCAATATAATGGAACAAGTGTTTCATTCTTCACCTTGCCTGCTTGCCTGCTTTGCTTTGAGCAAAGCCGTTCCTGGTCCAAAGTCTCTTGAGCGGACGATTCTCAGGCGTTTTGATCGCTGCGTCATGCGAGACAACCAGGGCGGGATGGAAGTTGGATAGGACCCACCTCGGCGCCACTTGCCCCTTGGCAGCACCAGCAACACGCTCGCAGTCCCTCTCTGTTCCAGCAGTGACTGTAGGCAGCTTTTCAACTCTCCTCCAGATCTTAACCTCGGCGAACACTTCGTTTAGTCTAGCCACAGGATGGGGCCCCATAGTTTGCTAAGTTGGTTTATAACTAGAATAACAATAGTGTATGATACTTATAACTATATTTAGATGGGGTTATAAACCAACTTATAACATCTTATAACTGGGGGGCCCCATCCTGCAGGAACTCAAACAATGTTTTTGTTGGTTGGATCATGAGTGTACCTTCCAATGTATCGGCTGATACCCCCATGATCTGCTGCCCATTGCTGCCCCAGTCACCTGGGAGGTGTTGTGGTCAACGTGATCACAATTCGAAGAGCATGTCCTGGCTGATTTGTGCCGAAACAAAGTCAGCAAGTTTTGAACCATACCGTCCAGTAACTAAACCTGGCAATGGAAAGATCCTTGAATGCTATCCAATTTATTAATCATTTTCGCGCTAAAAAAAAGTTGGTTTTCCATGTTCCATTGCCGCGTTTGATCACCAGAGGACAGGGGATGAAAATCCGCCCAGGCCAGGGGGCCATGATCATCTCATCCCCGGCTGACCCCCGTTCCAAACCCTCCATTTAATCCTGGTTGGTTGAGACCGGGACGCCGGGATTCCCAGCTCATGGATTATGATTACATAATGTAATATTATATAATATAATATAATATTATATTATATAATATTATATTATATTATATAATATTACATAATATAATATTATATAATATAATATAATATTATGTAATATAATATAATATTATATAATATAATATAATATTATATTATATCATATAATATAATATTACATAATATAATATAATATAATATAATATATCTATATATATATATCTATCTATCTATCTATCTATCTATCTATCTATCTATCTATATATATATATCCATATCTTATTATATGATAATCATTGATAATCCCATATAATTCCCTTACTTTGAAAGAAAAAAGTAATTGGATGTAATTCGGTTAATAACCCCCGAACTCATCATCAACCAGCAGTGTCGAACGCAGCGCTCCAACGCAGCCAAGCAGCCAGCGGGGATTCCCATCAAAGGCCACCCAGGAGATTGCGCGGAAGTGATCCCTGACCTGGAACTCCGAGCCGAAAATGTTGGATGATGTTGGATGGTTGTTTCTTTTTGTGTTTATCCCTTAAGCCTTTATTTAAGAAAAACAAGCATCTGTAAGTTATATAAGTTCTATAAGTTCTATAATAAACCGATGTTACATAAATTTAATATGTCTTATCACATCATTTATCACTTACTAGTACAGATGGTTATAAGTTATATAATAGGTGTTGAATCTCAAGCCAGCCACGGGATCGAGGGAAGACCTCCGGCTCGAGGATGCATGGTGCCTGCGACTGCGACTGGCTCCCATCTTTTCCAGTTCTCCCTGCGTGCATATACCGGCCGATGGGCCCATCATTGTACCTATATTCTATCTGCATTTAAATCATTACATATACCATATCTATAATATATATATATATATAATGAATTTTGTGCAATAAATATAAATAATAATGATGATGATAATAATAATTAGTAATAATAATAATAATGTATATTTTATATAATGTTATGTGTATATATATATATGTTATTTATGTGTGCTGAATGTATACTAATTTCATCTGGCCAAGCCATGCCTGACAGCAGCGGGAGCCAGTCAAGAACGCCACCCATGGTGGCTCGCAGCTTCGGCTGTCAGCGAGTGGCACGGCCATCATGGGATTTCTCGTTGCTGGTTGACTTACCCTCTGGTAATTTAACATAGCTATTGAAAATGGCCATTTATAGTGGATTTACCCATTGAAACTGGTGATTTTCCATAGTTATGTTAGTTTACCAGCGGGTAGATCCTTTTTTTCAATGTCTTTTTTTCTAGAACATAAGTTGACTCCTGGGTTGGTTCATTACAAGGCTATTCTGTTCCACTTTTGGATGTACATCTGCATCACTTGGGCATGAATTGGACCAGCACACGCCATGGATGAATCCAACCTCGGATTGCTATGCTTGGGACATGGAGGTGCACTCTCCGAGTAATCACCTGTCACCACCAAGCTGGACAGTTGCCTCCTAGTTTCTGACCTCATGAGCACCCCACTTAGCACCCCCCCACCATTCTCCCTTAATGTATCTGCAGTGTACATGGCCCCGGAGTCCCAAAGATGTGATTTCATCATATTTCATCTACTAAACCATGGTTTCTGGGCGGTGTTTCATATAAAGCAAGGAAGGACTATTTCTAGTTGGTTAGTTGTAAACCAACTACATCCCCAGATCCCACTACAGTTACATCACCATGTTTGATGATCAAACCTCCAAAAAAAACACGATCGGAGGCCCTTTTTTTTGGCCCATCTCAGCTCAGCTCCTCCTTTTTCGCCCTTCACAGGCGCTGATCACGGCGCCCAGCGTGGCTTCGTTGGGCCGGACGCCATGGAGCTCCACCGTCCGCAGCAGCTGCAGAGCGGCACGCCAGGTCCGTGCGCGCGCGCAACTGCTGATGCAGGCGCTGAAGGTGATCACGTCCTCATCGGTTCCGGCCAGAAGGATCGGCAAGAATATGGGGAACTAAGTACAGTAACTAAGTAAACTAAGTAGTTTTGGTGATTTGACCTACCAAAAGGTCAGAAGGTACAAGTAGGATTTTGGTAGCTAAGTTGGTTTATGATTCAGTATAACTGTTGGGTTAAAGGCTAATGGTGGGATTCATCCGAATATTATGCCTGTCTTGATTTAACCCACTGAATGAGGATGTAAAAAAAACACTGTAACAAAAAGAAATGATTGGATTTATTCTGAATAAAACTTTGGTTTCTGGTAGCTGCTAGCTATATCGATTTCTCTCTCTCTCTCTCTCGTTCTCTTGCCTTCTCCAAGAGTCGATTCTATCAAACTAGTTTTATAATGGTTGTTTATAATGGTGTATGTGCCAAGAAACAATCGTTTTGCTTTATGAACTTTCTTACCCGCCCCACAGCCCCCCAGTAAAAAAAAATGAAACGTTCTCCAAATCCATCATCAGTCAGCTTACCCCATCCCATATAACTCATGACATTGGAACCCAGCATCGAGCTGCGTGAAGCGCCGGCGCATGCGCTGAAGATTCTCGGCAGCACCTTGCCAGCGGCCTGCGTTCCCCATGGAGCCTGGATGGCGAAAAAAGGATTCGAAGTCTGAAGCTACGACCGAGGAAGTGAAGTAATGTGGGTAAAACAAATACTAAACTACCTTTATACCACTTTTTTATGGTGATCTGGGGGAAGTTATGATCAGCTCTCGATGTTTAAACCATTTTTTAAAGATGTCAGCCCAGTCAACCAAAAAAAACACGGAAACTTCACAAATTTCACAAGCAAGAGACCTGTAACACATCCTATAACACAGGACTGACGTATGTTGTTTCCCAGGAACTGATGGCTGAAAGCTCCGACACGGAATCCGGCTCCAACAGCAGCCCGTTGAAGTGCCAGAAGAAGGCGCTGGCTCCTCTCCAGGAACTGGCCGCTTGGAATGCGCTTAGAGCTGCGTTGATGGCTTCCAACGACAGCCTGTTGGCAACAATGACACCAATTTTGGGACAAAAATGTTTAAACACAACTAGTGACTAGTGCGGGTTTGTGGTGACTTAATGGGATTTATAGATATGTATACATATATATATGGATTTATATAATGGGATTTAAGGGGATTCAATTGAGATGTCATGTGATAAGCCCAATAAACATCAATAAACATCAATAAACCCTCTCTTTGGGGATGATATTCAGCCATTTATCGTAGTATTGGAACTGGTTTGCGATTGGGTTTACCACATTAACAGCAAAACTACCGCAGCTTTGCTAGCAGAGCAAGCTCGGGATCTTGGCCACTTTGGGGGTCGTGTTCCCTACAGTGTTGATGGGAACGTGTGTAACTGCCACAAAAGATCGCAACCCACCAACTTGGAAAAATCACTGGTACATCATATGACATCATATGGGGCCCCATATGACACCATTCAGAAATCAAATTCATATCCATCTCAGTCCATCTATGTACATGAATGATACCCAGCCAGCTTTTTGGGTCCCCCTTGCGTCCCCCTTGGGTCCTCCTTGGGTCCCCAACAGGCCTCACTGACGCCTCCTTGGCCCCCTCCACTAACTGCATTGCCCTCTGCCAGCTCTGGGAACCGATCAGAGATCCCCAGCTGATGATGTCCAGCTGGAGCTGGCCATGTGCGACCTCAAAGAACCTGCTGGGCGGCTGCAATGGATGGAGCATTGATGGTAGGGAACCAACGGTCAATATACCGTGGAGAATCGTGACCGATATCACAATGGGAGGAGCTTTTCCTGAGCAACTATCACATACAGTACCATCACACACTATCACCATTAAAATAAACGGCGAAACCAGATACTGTAGTAAGTTAATGACTCCATCCTCACCCACCAACAGCACTTGTTGTGCACCCACCTGAAAGCCCTGGACCAAGCTCCTACAGCCACTGCGCTGATCAACGAATTCATGGCCACGGTGTTGAGCAAAAGAGCCCTGCTGTCCAGCTCAATCAAAAAGCTTAGACCTCTTGACCATTTCTCTCCTTCATCCTTGGATCTGGCTCTGGCTTAAGGAGACCCTTAAGACACCATCATAACCAATGAAAAAACAACGAGGATCGTTACAGGAAGAATCATGATAACGATTATTACTTTCAAAATGCCATCAATATATCAATAATTAATGCTGCACATATCGTGACATCTTCCCTGTCCATATATGTCATCATCATTCATTCCCATTCTCATCCTTTTTTTTTCCGGCCATGGTCGCTAAAGCGTCCGTGGGCCGGCACTGCGACAGCTTAAAATTGTCGTGCGAGAGCCATTTGGTGGATTCGCCTGTTTTGCTCGTCCGTGTTTAAATAGTCCGTCCGTCTGTTCGTAAGTTTGTTCCAAACATGTTTATGGGTGAGGTGGCGCCATTCTCATCCCTTCTATAGTCCAATTAATAACCTCCAATTCTCCAAAAAAAAACCTCACTTCCCCAACTTTAACCAAAAAAAAACACCTGTTTCCCCCCCCATTCCCCACCATTTTCCCAAACATTGCTCCAGGCATCACAGGCCGCCAGCACCGCTCCAAACATCACCGTGTTGCCTCGGATCCCCTGGCTTTGCAGCTCCAGGGCCAGGTGGATGGCCCTGCGCCAGCGGCCAATGCAGGCGCCAGTGGCGGCACTTTGAGCCACAAGACCTGGGCCGGGGCCCCGGGGACCCTGGGAGCAGCGGGGTTAATATTGGTTCTTATGGGTTATTCCAAAAAATGTGCTTAATATATGTTAATATGATGGTAATTTTGAATGGTTTGGAGCCATCTATAGAAGCTTGGAGAAGGATATTTATATATATATATTATATATATATATATCAGTGTGTGTGTGTGCGACATGTCTATGTTCGGAAAGTTGATTGGGATCATCACCACTCATCATCCCACATCATCCCACGTTCAGGGATAAACATATTATACACTCATATATTTATTGTTAAAAAAAAAAACTAAGTCACCAACAGGAGACTCGCTTCCAGAGCATTGCTCCTCAACTCCTGTGTCGCTTGGAACGCCATCTCCCACAAGTGGCACCGCCCAGCTGCCGCAGTGGCAGTGGAGTAAGTCACCGCACTGGCGCGCAGGCTGAGCATGGCAACACTTCTCAGAACCGCTATGGCGCTGCACCACCTCCACGGTTGATCTTGGGAGGCGCTGCATTTTTTCTAACTTCGCCGGATGCGATAAACCCCTTACTTCTGGCAATGCCATTCGCACCTACCCTTCACCAAAGAATCTAGTCTTTGCCCAAGTCCATCAAGTCACTGACCATTTCCCCTTGCCGGCCCTTGCCTTTTCGCCGCAGCGCAGCTCCCCAAGGTGCCGTTCAGCAGCACCGTGTCCCCCCGCAGCGCCCTGGTCGCCGTGTCGCCCAGCAGCGCCAGCGCGTCGTGCCACGATGCTCCGCCCGCAGCGATGCTCCGCGCCACGAGGTCCAGGGAGGCGCCGTCGAAGAGGCGCCAGGCGCGTTGCCAGCTGGACCTGGGCCCCGGCCGGGCCCCATGGGGAGCTGGGGAAATCCGGAAATTGATGGGTTTAACATGTTGTAATCACATCGAACTATAGATGTGTCATGATATATCCGCCATAAACCATCATAAACCGATATTCGTTAGCCTAGATAGTTCAACCAACTTAGCTATACCCTCTGGCAATTTATATACCATAGCTTGCTGGAAAATACCCATTCAGTTCGATGATTTTGCAGCTGCTCAAACCTCCATTTAGTTCGGGAATTTGTTCCTTACCAGAGGGTATAGCAACCCCAAAACAGAAACCGAAAAGTCGAAATCCCCCTAAAATAGTTGATAATTGTATACCTTTTTGATCCTTTTTGTCCATAGCTATGGGAGAATCGTCCAAATTTACCGTTATCCACTGTTGTGTTGATGGATTTTGTCACTCCTCGCCTGTCGTCCTCAGATTTCAAGCATGCTTTCAGGATCTCGCCATATGTCACCGCAGTGGGGCCAAGTCCAATCTGTTTGAGCCGAGAAAGCCGAGAGAATCCCTGCAACCACTGAAGACCTTGGCAGCCGCTGATGTCAATGTTGAAGGCCGTCAAATCTGGTTTCATGTCATCAACGATCCGCCCCAAAATCAGCGCTGCGTGCCTCCAACAGGTGCTCCTTGGGGCCGTCCGGCGTGTCAGAAAATCAGGTGGAGACGACACATGTTCAGGTATTGTTGGATATATTGATATATTGATATATTGATTATATTGCAATATGTGGATACCATATGAATTGATACAATTATTAACAATAATGCGGATATGATTGTCATAAAAGTATATCAAAGTAGTATGTCCTTTTCGTTGCTTCCCTGCTACATATGCATTAGTTTAAACATCTCTCCAAGACTACACATGAATATATGCATGCGCGGTAGTTCGCACCTGATATGTACTTGCGGAAAAACATCATTATATTATGAATATGATGATACTGTGGATGGAAGAAATCCTGCACCACCTTGGATGGTTAAAACCCTATGAATAATGGGATAAACCACCTATTAACTGGTGCAGGATTTCTTCCATCCACCGTATGTTGCTGAAATAGAGGGCGCTATACATCCTTTCTTCAAAAGTTCAAAAAACACCCAGTCCTGGCACAAGCTGCTGTCCCGGTGCTGAGTGCTATCAAATCAACTTCCACCCCTTCATCGTACATGCGACGAAGTGTTGCCATAGACTGAGTCCAAAGGATCACCCCAGTGCATTCCTTCAAAGCAGCATTCAGAGTATATTTGTTTGGCGCTGCATCTATAGATTGAGATTGGCCTCTGCTTCTGCGCCTCGCGCTCATGGGCTTGCGAAGTGTCCTTGAAGTTGTTGAAGTCTGAGCTCTGGTCAAGCCATAAGAGCCAAGAATGGCCCAAACATCCCAGCCTTCTCTGCGAGGAGGGCCCTCCACTGCATTGACGTCGGGTCATTGAATCAACGTACTTGTTGAAACTGGCAACTGATCCAAGGTGGCTCAGATGTAAGCAGAATGTCAGCATGCCATGGCTTCAGAATGACGAGGTAAAGAAAGCCCTATACATTGCCAACTTCTTTTATATACATATATCACATATATAATATCTTGTCGCGGTTTTCAATGTGTTCACCCCGTCGGGTTATGTCAGGTTTTATCGTTTTATCATGTTTTATCATGCTTTATCAGCAGATCCAGCTAATGTACAATGATGGCGGTGTTTGGTTTTGGACTCTCCTCAACTTCGCTGGTCTCGAAAGGATCACAATGAAAAGGGGGCCACTGGTCCCTTATTTCCCTTTGGGCTTAAACTTCAAATTGGGAGACATCATCCATCTACTGTAATTACTCTGCTACTGTCTGATTTTTGTTGAGTTACTGAGTTACAGTTACTCATGTTACTCTCTTCAGTAACGAGCCCCTAGTGCGGAACGAAGGCACAAAGGAAAACATGGAAATAGTCTCAGCGCCAACCGCAGAAGCGACTCGACTCAACTTCTGCAAACTGTCTGCATCACGTGTTTTTCCCCTGCACGGTCGAGGTATGAAATGGGTGAAACCTACTGTGCATTGTAGCCACTGACACGTTCATCTCATCGTTAGGAGCTACTCCAGTGGCCCTTGTTTCAACTCTATCCGCAGTCCAGCCATCGAAACCCAGGCGGAACTTTGGGAGTCAGCCTATGGAGGGCGCCCATCTACCTAGGACGCGGCGAAGCGGTGACGCTCATTGGAACTCCCCCAACCCTTGGAGGTGGACAAATTGCAGGGCAAGCCGCAAAGTGTGCAGGCGCCCAATTGTCCACAGGAGATGGGAAATTCCCCACATGCCTCACCATTGGCTGCGCTGGATTTGCTCATGCGCAAGCTGCGCAAGCCATGAACAATCTCTGCTTATATCGCTGTCTTTGGTCAGTCATTGATAAACAACGTGCGGGTTGGTGCTTCCAGCCCATCCAAAAATAATATCAGCAAATTGGGGAATCACCATCCTAAAGAGGGATAGAAAGCTGAAAAATATTTGACCCAGAAAATCCTGCAGCATCACCGAGTCTGAGTGCTTCTGTGTGCTTGACTTCCGTGAAATGGTTTCTCTCTCTCTCTCTCTCCCCATCGCCATTTTGGGGTAGTAGCTCTGGGAGTTGAATTCTTTGCCCCCAAAACATATAGAAGACATCAATCATTGGAACCAAACAGTTTCTTTGTTTGGGTCATTTGGGAACAAACAAAACAGACCATATCCAAGGTTGATTGCCCCGACAAGGCAATAGCCAGACTTGGCAGAACTAAAGTAGGCAACTACAAACACATGCATAGCCGCATACTATAGCTACCAAAGAATCACCAAGGAGAAAATGAAAAAAGGTGTGTAACATATCAAGATCATATAAACTTTGCCAAAACTCGTGGCAACAACCCGGCTGGTTCTCCAAAAATATCTCCACAGGCCTCCCCTTAAGGCTGCCAAAGGTACCCATACCACATGCCAAAACCCAGGGATGCGGAACTTGAGGTGCCAGCGCCGCTGGTGGTCTTGATCTGGGGCAAGGATTGCGACTTCCTGAGACAACAAGCTATTGGAATCATCCAATAGAACCCAACCATTTGGGGATCATTTCGGCATCCCATTACTAGGTGTAAACCAAATTCAAACCGTAAGATACCTGAATATAAAGCCCAATTAGAGTATGGTGTGTTATTGGCTTCACCTTCTCCCACAACTTCCGGTCAGCATAGAGGTTGGACTCACCAAGCTTCAGAATGTGTTTGCCGGCGAATGGGTTGAACCTGCAGCTGGATTTTGGATCTGGGACCGACATGTGCAGAGTTGACCTCTGGATGTTGATTGGATATGACTTCCCCGCGCCCCCAATGGATCCAAGTGGAGGGTATGCATAATCTTGATTGGATGATTTGAAATACTGTAGATCATCCCCCCCATCAAACAGACCCATATTTGTTTTTTATTTGGTTATATATATCCCATTTTTTTGGCTAAAACCAACCCGGTTTCTCCGTGCGGGCCAGTGACTTCCGTGGCACGTGGCCGCCATAGCCCTGGACGTGCTTTGGCCCTGCAAATCGCTTGGGCGGCTCCTCTAGCACCTGGAAGACTTGTGAGGAATGAAGATGAATGAAGCTTGTCTAGTGGATCCATGTCCACGGGGGACAAAGATAGCCTAGTACTTGGAAAATGTCTGTCTTCCTCGTGGGAAAAAAGAGCACCTTGAAAGGTTCAATTGCTGGTTCGTTTTGAACAATGACACATTTCATATTATATAATTACATTCATCAGCCATGTATATATATATATATATTATATACATAGAAAATTCAGCTAGCGAAAGGGGGATGCGGACATCGGTGGCGCCTTGGATGACCTTTTCTTTGTCCACGACATGTCCGGGAAGGCGGAGACGTCTGGAAAGGACGCCGAGCCCGAGATTTGAGGGGCCTACCGCGTTTGTCAGCCAGTGTGGAATTCTTCATGGTGGGAAGAAATTGAAGACATGTGCTTGAAACAATATAATATACATACAGAGAGAGAGAGAGTTATGCATTTATATTTTTGAAAGAATAAGCGGTATTTATGATTTAATTAAGTATTTATACTATTTATGTATCTGTACATGCAACTGTTCCACTTGGAAAAAAGCCACCGATCAGTGAAACCTGCAACATACCTGCAACTATTTAATGGCCATGATTGTCAAACAGCTTCAGACAAGTTCAGCAATGGCTGCCGCCGAAGTGACGTTGGATGAGGGACGGTTGCTCCTCAGCAACGATCAAATCAGGAGCCCGTGATGTGATGCAAATGCTGTCATCTTATGGTGCTGATGTGTAGCTTTGGCAGGGAGGACGCCATACCTGAAACATGACTTGCGGTAGGCATGGCAAATCTTGTAATGTGGTAAACCCAGTAAAAGACCAGCCCCTTCACCAACCATTTGGGGGTCATTTTGTATCATCTCCTATCTGGGGAATATCAACATGAACTTCTATTGGGTATGGTTTGAGGCATTGAGTTTACTACACTAAACCCCATTAAATCTCATTGAACCCCATTAAATCCCATGAAGTTACCATAAACCCATATAAACCCTATAGTTAATCCCATTGAGTCACCATAATTCTGCAGCTGTTGAAGCGGACTCCGTGCTGTCATGCAAAGAGTCACCATAAACCCTATAGTTAAATCCCATTATATAAGTCACCGTAAACCCAATATGTACCCTCTGGTAATTTAACATAGATATTGAAAATGGCCATTTATAGTGAGTTTTCCCATTGAAAATGGTGATTTTCCATTGTTATGTTAGTTTACCAGAGGGTAATTGCTATCTGAGATACATTGGTTTACCACAATTTACTGCTAAAGCTGATCCCTCCATCTGAGGTGAACTGAAGGGCCTCGCGGCGCTGAACTGGAACTGGATGCCTTGCTCAGCAAGACGTCAAGGAACCAACAGCTGCGGGAAAGCCACGGCGGATGCGGCGGATGTGGGGTCCGAAAGAACACTTGACCATTTGTTGGGGGAGCGGCCAAGCATAACACTACTAGTAGGATCGACATGTGCATATATATGTTTATGATTATGTACATGTAAACATATGCTTATAAATTAGATATGTATATATATATATATATTATGTGTGTGTGTATGTCCATCATGTATATAAATATGATATAAAAATGACGTTTAAACATGCCAATGGATGGGGCTGCTTTTCACCATGTTTTTCCATGGCTGTCTTCAAGGAAAGAATTTCACGTGACTGAAGGGTTCCCGCAAGACTCTACCAAAGAACTGCCATCTCCTGCCGCCCCCACGCAAAAAATAAGGGCGTCTGTCCGTGTCGGTCCGCAGCTTCTACCTTGGCAGTGCGTCTGAGAAGTCCGCCATTCAGAAACCTGTCAGTTCCAAGTTCCAATCATGCAACTTCCATTCCCAGCCATCCCCAGCCATTCCTAGCCCAGCCATCCCAAGCTTGGCTTGCCACATCTGCCCTGGCGCTCAGAAGGACTTTGCAAAGATCTGCGTTCCTGAGACTCGCTTCTGCATCACAGCTGTCTTGTGCGATTGGCTGCTGAATATCGCTCTAGGTCTGACCCATCAAAGCATACTATGGCAAGCACCCATCAAAAACGGCGATGTGCAAAGGCGTAACCTGTGAGCACGAAGGACTTCTACCGGTTGGGCCCACGTTGATTCCCAGAAAGGGAATTCTATGACCCCACTATCATGAAATCAGGTAGTAGCGGGCAAAATACTGTTTGCCATTTGCATGCGACAACTGCGACAAAGGGTATCCTTTCCCTAGACAAAGGTGAAAACCATTTCCCAGCACATATGATACATATGACTGCGGTAGGTCACTCCTGAGGCTCCAACACCCTTTGAGTCAGCATCATTGGTGCTGGCACCGGCACGCAGCAGCATTCGAGCCTGAGACCAACCCGAAGAAAATCAATGGATCCAGGGAAGGTCATGAAGAATCCAGCAACACCTCAATATGTTCTTTTGCCTGGCCTACCTACCTGCATTTGCTCTGTGTTTGAAGCTGTTCCACTTTTCACGGTTGGCATTGATTTTTGAAAATGTGAATGTGCTTCACCGTTGAGAGCTTATGGGCACAGGACAAGAACACAACAGAACAGAAGAAATGTTTTTTGTCATATCAAATTTCAGTTCAGACATGTTTTCTGCCAAAAGGAGCTTCGGAATTAAATCGGCGCACGTTGTACTTTCTTCATCTTCCCTACTGCCCTCAGTATGGCTATAGTCTTAGATGCTATATTTTAGATCGGCAGCTCCCACATCCAACTACCCTTCACCATCCTTCATAATCCATCGCCCAGCTTTCCCTCAGTCTCCCACCACATCCGCGCGTCCCGCACGTGACACTGCCACCAGCGGACTCCCAGGCCTCAAGGGCTGAGTCGACCGCAGCCGAGGCCGTGGCCGCAGCCGTGGCCGTTGACTCCAGCTGGGGGCCGGGCCCGTGCCATCGTCGCATCAAATCAGGGGCTCCCTGGGACTGGTGTTTTTGTGTGAACTTTGTCAACTTAGCCAGCCTCAGCTCCCTAGGATTTTTGCAGGAATCTAAGTTGACAATGGAAGATCTTCGTCATTGATTGGCGATGCTCCCAATGATTTCAGTTCTTGTCATGTTGGATGACCAAAGGGTCAACCAACATGACCGAAGCATGTGGATCCCCGTGGCCTTGATGACCCGGCCCACCGGCCTTCAGGAATCGCTGCAAGGCTTGGATGGCATGCTGTTCAACCGCCGCTGCGGCGCCCCCCTGGCGGTGCTTTTTCCAAACGACGTCCGTGTGGGTTGGGACCACAATGGGCGGCGTACCCCACTCCTCCAAGTTTTTTTCAAGAGTTTAACCATTTAACGTCATTTAACCCTTAGAAAAAAATATGGCAGGAATGCCGCCTTGTCAAGCTGATTATCCTGGCCACCTTGATGGCTAAATTGATTAAATGGATATTAAATAAATGGCTGTGTCATGCTGTGTCAAATCACCAGGGGAGTTAACCATGGGACCCCCAAGCATCAGGCCTTGAGGAAGGGCTGTAAGAGCTGGTTCAGCGTCTGCTCCTGATCAGCTGTGGTGGGACTGGGCTCTTCCACCTGCAGCCTGGCAGTGGCGGGGGGGTCCTAAAACGATGGTTGGTCCGTGGTTGATGAAGGGTTGGTTCAGGTGTGGTTGATGGTTAACACTCCACTCCATAGGCACTCATGTTCAATAATATATGCTAGTTCTGTTGTTTTCAAGTGAAGTCTGTGAAGTCCCTTCTCGGCTTCTTCTGGTATATCTATATATGAAAAAGGCTGAACGAATCATGGGTTGTTGAGGCGGCTGCATTTGCAGTGTGGTTGACTTGGGTGGCTGCTGTAAATGCCAAGCCTTCCAACACTGGCCGGTCGACGCCCACCTACAGCAGCAGTGGTAGACCGGGCATCAATGAAGCCGAACACAAGAGCAACATTGAGCAACAAATTTGACAATAACTGGTTGGATCTAGTGAATCTAGTTGGTAGATACATCCATATATAAAGAGGAAATATTGGTTCCAACCCTTCCAAATAGAATTTGAAACAGGATGCGCGCAGTTGAAACTACTACCGACATCGACCAACCAAAACAGTTCTGTCTCGAAGCATCCTCACTGAGCTTTCAGCCACCACCAATGATAACGGGCCCTGAAGCAAATCAACTCATGGAAGCTGGTGTCAGGACAAATATGGTCCTCAAGAAAGGTGGGCGACTCATGACCTTCCCAACAAATGCTCAGTTGTCCATAGTTTTCCTGATTTGGCCTGTCTGAAAACTGGGGGATACATGGGGATACCTCCAAAAAAATGAAAATATATGAAAATATTTAATAAGTGAAATATGATGATGATCAACCATGAAATGTGGGGGCATCCTCCACGTTCAATCATTTAAAGACAAACCCAAAGTTGATGATTCACATCCGCATTGGTTGATTTAAATCCCTATCTTAAATGTTCCTTGGTTAATCCATGTTAACCCCATGAAACAATATATGAAATACATTGAAATACATTTACCCTCTGGTAAATTCACGGTTGGACCCTGAAAATGACCTATTTATAGTGGTTTCACTAGTCTTCCAACCCCTATCTGCCAGGGTCTATGTTAATATCAATGGATTGGTTTAAGGGAAAATTTACAGGAAAACCCCATGTTTAATGGGAAAATCGATGGTTTCCTGTAGGGTAAATACCATGACATCCTCGAACCGCCGACACTCAGCTCCCGGCGGCTTGGACCGTCTCCTTGCGCCCCTGGCGTAGTCGTTTCCGCAGGATATAGGATATGGATGGATATGGATGGATATGGATGGATATGGATGGATATGGGAGCACCCTATATGGTCTTTATATGCCAAAAAACACAACTGTTGAAGTTAAAAACTTGGACTTTGGATGATTTTGGATGATGATTTTGGCAATCTCCTGATGCAAAGGAACAACTACAAGGTCAGCCATGTCACGTATGCCGTATGCACAGATCTCTTCTCAGTCGCAGAATTCAAAACATCACTCCTTCGCAATTCTTTTGTCTGGCTCCAGTCTGTAGGTCTGACGCTACAGGCTCACTGCAGCAGAGCCAACAAATTCTCTGTTGCGAGTCAATCAGTCCAAATGAGCACAGCTGCACGGCGGCTTTGAGCCCTGCGGTTCTGTGCTCATTTGATTCAGTTGTCTTTCTTTTTCTTCTTCTCTTCCGCTTTTTTCTTGGCATCCTCATCCTCAGAAAGCTGCAGCATTTGGAAGTTTCCTCTGTGTCATACTGTGTCCACCCACAACTTCCCTGCCATGTCAAGGCAGCCCTCAGCCGAGCAGCGTCATTCAACATGTTCAGGAGACTCTGGACGAGCCAAACGAGGCCCCGCGCCTGGAATGTGCCAGTCATTTCACCCCTGAGTTGGGAAAATGTCTGGGGCCCTGCCTGAGCCCAGATAAAAACAAGCAGAAGGCCCACCACGACGCATCGTCCCGCGTAGCCGAATGAAGCATTCGCATCGCGGTCCTCAAGGGGCCGTGCAAGAAAAACGGTGAAGCAAACAGCCACTAGATGCCGCTAGCTGTGCTGGCCGAGACTTGTTTATCCGGCCTGGCAAAAACGCACGGAACATTGACATCTTTGCTCTGATTGTGCGACTGCGACGCTGGCATGGCCCTGCGCTTTAATATTTATATATTATATAATGGTATGCTTGATGGACCACGGTTGACATTTTCCGCCACATGCAGAATCTAGAAGGAATGCCAAGGGTCCAATTTTAGGTAGACAGCCACGAAACGTTTTGCAATCCACAGGGCGTAACCTCGGAAGAGCGGAACTCGGTCACGGATCACAAAAACACCGGACTGGGTATGGATCAAAGGCCTAGACATGCCTAGACCTAGAATTCTTCTGAACTTTGCCAAACAAGGAACAGAATCCGGCATGACATTAAGGCTGTTAACCTACCCAATGTTGGAGTCCTCAGGTGCGACCCACGGCAACCAGTTGGGCCCGCCTCGAGGTGTGCTGCTCATTCTCCACATTCGCGCCACTCGCGGAAGGTGCTCGGACAGCCTGTCCCAAACCAAGGAAAGCCATGGAAACCATGGCCCAACTGACGGAACACCACAATATAGTGGTTTTGATGGGTTTTGGGGGTATGGCAGGATCGCCCTTCGCTGTGAATGCTATAGAGTCTCTATCCTCGTGCCAATTTTCCATCTTGCGTGCCTTTGCTCCGCATCCCAGGTCGCCTCGGAGACCAGCACCTTTTCTCCATTTTATACACTGCGAATCGGCAAACTGCAAGCCAGTTGGCTCAGGATGGCGTTTAAAAATGTTGACAATCTAGGCCCAAGGTTTGTAAAAAGTCAATAGCATGCTCCTTGCCTCATCCAGACATCGTTGATAACCTGGCGGTCGGCACTCTGGGTCTTCCGTGGTGCTTTGAATCTTCCTAGACCGGTGCAGCGGGAGCCAGGCCAGTGCATGAAATGCCTGGAGTCAAAGGGCTGGCAAAGAACAAAAACATTACAAAAACACTACAAACACAAGCGAAATTAGATGGTTGGCGGCGTCTTCCTGCGCCCCTCGCCATAGATGTCATAGATTCACTTCTCGGGATATGCCCCGTCCAGGGGCCCTTCAAGGCTCCAGCCAACATCGGAGTCAGAAAGTCCTCTTCTGGTCAACTCTTTCTTCAACATCTCTGCAAAATTGGTGAAGCGATCGGTTGAGCCGAGGAGCTGGTATGATCCGTACAACGCACACAGACCCCAGTCTCTGAGCGACGAGATGGTCTTTCGAGATGCAAAACGCTGGGCAACAGCGGACAGGAGCTCGTCATGGGGCAGTTCCATCTTTGCACATGCCCAAACCACAGCAGGGGGAGTCAGGAACAAGTCCAAATCACTGAGCTTTGGAAGGAGCTTCGCGACCCGTGACGCGGCCTCTCCCACAAAGCCTGTGTTGCTTCTACTCCCACCGCGAAGGAAAGAACTAACACCTGGAACTGAATCTTGCAAAAGAACGAGAGCCAATAGGCTATTGGACAGGTCTTGTGGCTTCATATCTTTGGCCTTGTCTGGGACCTGCGCCACAATCGCAGGCACCACGTTCACCACGTCAGGTTCGTCATCCTTCAGTTTTGCAGCTGCCCACAGGACATTGGACAGTGCTTGAGGGGTCATATCTTTGGCCTTGTCTGGGACCTGCGCCACAATCGCAGGCACCACATTCAACATGTCAGTTGCATCATCCTGCAATCTTGCAGCTGCCCACAGGACATTGGACAGCTCTTGTGGCTTCAAATCTTTGGCCTTGTTTGGGACCTGCGCCACAATCGCAGGCACCACATTCAGCACGCCACGTGCATTATCCTTCAATTTTGCAGCTGCCCACAGGACATTGGACAGCCCTTGTGGGATCATATCTTTGGCCTTGTCTGGGACCTGCGCCACAATCGCAGGCACCACATTCAGCACGCCACGTGCATCATCCTTCAATTTTGCAGCTGCCCACAGGACATTGGACAGCTCTTGTGGCTTCATATCTTTGGCCTTGTCTGGGACCTGCGCCACAATCACACTTACCATGTTCAGCATGTCAGGTGCATCATCCTTCAGTTTTGCAGCTGCCAACAGGACATTGGACAGCCCTTGTGGCTTCATATCTTTGGCCTTGTCTGGGACCTGCGCCACAATCACACTTACCACGTTCAGCATGTCAGGTGCATCATCCTTCAGTTTTGCAGCTGCCAACAGGACATTGGACAGCCCTTGTGGCTTCATATCTTTGGCCTTGTCTGGGACCTGCGCCACAATCGAAGGCACCACGTTCACCACGTCAGGTTCGTCATCCTTCAAGCTTGCAGCTGCCCACAGGACATTGGACAAGTGTTGTGGGATCATATCTTTGGCCTTGTCTGGAACCTGCGCCACAATCGCAGGGACCACATTCAACACGTCAGTTGCATCATCCTTCAATTTTGCAGCTGCCCACAGGACATTGGACAGCTCTTGTGGCTTCATATCTTTGGCCTTGTCTGGGACCTGCGCCACAATTGCAGGCACCACGTTCACCACGTCAGGTTCGTCATCCTTCAATTTGGCAGCTGCCAACAGGACATTGGACAGCTCTTGTGGCTTCATATCTTTGGCCTTGTCTGGGACCTGCGCCACAATCGCAGGCACACAAAACAAGCACATTTGGATATTCATCAAATAAAGAATCAAAGCTCCAGAGGACATTGGCAAGTTCTCGAGCGTGGAGCTGACCTTCTTCAATCATCTCTTGGACTCGGGCATTGAGCTTGGAGAACTTCAGACCGCCAGCCGCTTTTGCCAATTTCCCTGACCTCTTCCAGGTGGCCAATCGGTGATAGGCACATGAGGCGTGAAAGTAGTTAAAGATCGGGCCGTCCACAGCTGCATTCAAAATCTTCACAAATTCTTCTGCTGATTTCGCTCCCGCCATGCTTGATGTCAACTTCTTCGCATCAACATAGTTGCCTCGCGGTTTTCCTCTCTTCGAGGGAGCTCTCTTCTCACTTCTCCTTTCTCTCACCTGCATCGGAATCCTGGTGGGTCTGGGCCGACCCCAGCTGGCACTCTGCACATAGCCAACATCTCCACGGGTCCCAAGGTGAGCCGCTGCCAAAGTCAGCAGCCACAGAACCACTAAGGCGGTTCGGGCACCTGGGTGCTTCCATCTTCGGCCCATGTGGGTTGAAGGAGTCGCCATGATGCAGCGCAATGGCAGAAAATGTGGTGCCAAAGGGGGTGGGGGCCAATGGTGAAATATGTGAAGCCTATCTGGGCGTGAGCGGTGCGGGTGCAGATTTCCAATCTTTCGTGTGCGGTTGCTGTCGTGGAATGTTGTGAATATGTAAAAGGGCTGGGAGTTGGTTTTCATTTATTGGAACTGGTGCAATTCTCTTGGTGACTGCAGCTGCCATATGCCATGAAATGATGCGATGCGGCGATGCGGTATTTTCCATGGATATTGTGATAAGAAGTAAACATTGAGTTCCAAGTTGAACGGAGAACCTTAGCTTTCCAGTTGAAAGCTAATTAACACTGCGTGCTTGAAAACGTAGGTGCTCGTGAGAGAATTCCAAAGCTGTGATAACATGTGATAACCATGTGATAACCTAAACATACCTAAACATACCTAACACTTGGAAACCCACAAATAGGGCCCACCTATCTTGACACCCAACTGATCTCACTCAGCCACCGCCTCTCTGCAGTGACATAGTCTTCATCCTCCAAATGCTCTGGGTCGAAGACCACGACCGTGGAAAGTCCTAAAGTGAGAACTCGCCAATGAGCCATGGGATCCGATGGGGATGACTCAAAGTTCTAACTGGTCAGTCGTATCTGGAGATATCATGAGACATCTGGTGGTCTGGTGGTGTTTATCAAGCTGCAGACACTACAGTCACAGGGTTGTTCCTTGTGATTTGCCAACAGTTCCTGAAGACCATCGGATGATTTTCCTACGGCTGATGTCCAGCCACTCTAGGCTTCGGCTACGCCGAGATATCCTCACCATGTGATTGTCTTGGTCGTCCCGGAAGGGTAGTATTCAACTATTCAACGTCTATTCGAAGGTACGTTCGCAGCTTACCAGAAAACAGCAAAGCCACAGCAGCCAGCCATTTTTTTATTGACATCAACTCATCAACAAGTGAACTGTGACATCAATGCAGATTGCGTTTCGCTAAAAGTGTCTGCACCTGCGCAGTATTTGTGCCGTTGAGGTGACATGTCTCAATTCGAATGTCACGGTCACCTTCGAAGTTCTAACCACAACCGTCTGCGATTCGTCTGCGTTGCTTCAAATCCCCGATCTGTTCGACTTTCACCATACCATTTCATACCATGTCCAATCATAACTTCTGGGTTTCAGTAATTCGGGCCTCACGCCATCCCCTTTCCATGGCACGTCGGCACCGAGGTGCTGTCGAAAGGCCCGTAATTTAGGCTTTGACTGCACTTGGCGTGTCAAGTGGGCAAGCCACACACCGTGGTCAATTGACCACGGGAGTCGGCTTGCCCAGCTGACTCGGCAAGTGCAATCAAAGCCTATGTCATGCTGTGCCCTGCAGCTGATTTGATTCTCTTGCTGGCAAGTCAAGAGTCAAAATCAACTGGAAAAAATTGAAATCATCACTAAATCATGATTCAACCAACAACTATAGGAGGACTTAATGGCATTTCGCATGCTTTCATGCTTTCAGCACTCGAGCTGTTGCCGCTCCTCCGCGCAGCTGGGTCTCCACCATGATATCCATGATATTTTTCTCCGAGTCATTCAGCTTGATGGCCAGAAGCACTGCCTATTCTGAAACAGACTTTGAGTGAAATATAGTGAAATTAAGCAACACGGCTTGTGAAAGATGCAACCCGCCCTCACAAAAATGCACTTCGGTTTTCTCTGAAACGTTGGGGCCGTTGGATGGCGTTGGGGGCATGTTGGGGCAACCTCTACATTTTGTTCAATATCTTTTTTTCTGTAGTAGGACGCCTTCGCGAAGCCAGGTGTGGACGGAAGGCGTGGACGGAATGGATCGTCAGGGCATGTCAGGGCGCTGCCGGGATACTTGTGCCTGCTTGACAGCTGACGATGAAGCAAAGCATCAAGAGATGTTTCTCTATATTAACCCCGCTGGGTGGTTTTAATATGTTTTAATGACGTCTTTATCATACCTTATCTATTACCAAATGGGGACAAGAATATTTGAAACGACCGACCAGAACCAATGATGTCTATGACTCTATGACATTCACGATCGTTGATCGCTCTTTAGCGCCAACTGAACCAAAAGTCAAAGCTATCCAAAGGCCAGGTTGCTGTTCGACCCCCTGGACCAAGTGGGTATCATTGGATGCCACCTGTTCACATCATGCAGGAGCAGCCGTAAGAAGCAGAACCGTCCACGTCATCTGGATGCCGGCGTCTTCACTTTGAATCTTCTGCGCCAAAAAGTGCTGCAGTGGAGAAATCCAGCTCAAAGCCGGGGATCAAAAAAAACGTCCAAGCAGGATTCGTTTTTCTGAGCAGGAATTTAAGGGGGATTCCTGAGGATGTTCGGCATCCTATATGATCACTATGAATCTTTAGGACAGAATATGCCCCAAAAAACAACAACTGCTAATTGAAATTCGAATTTGGTGTTGGATTGGATGATTTTTTGCGATTTTGGATGATAAATAATGATGATTTTCGCAATTGTTCAAACATGTCACGTATCCACAGATCTCTTCTCAGTCGCAGAATTCAAAACATCACTCCTTCCCAATTCTTTTGTCTGGCTCCAGTCTGTAGGTCTGACGCTACAGGCTCACTGCAGCAAAGCAAAGCCAACAAATTCTCTGTTGCGAGTCAATCAATCCAGATGAGCACAGCTGCACGGCGACTTTGAGCCCTGCGGTTCTGCACTCATTTGATTCATTTGTCTTTCTTTTTCTTCTTCTCTTCCGCTTTCTTCTTGGAATCCTCATCCTCAGAAAGCTGCAGCATTTGGAATTTTCCTCTGTGTCATACTGTGTCCACCCGCAACTTCCCTGCCATGTCAAGGCAGCCCTCAGCCGAGCAGCGTCATTCAACATGTTCACCAGGCTCTGGACGAGCCAAACGAGGCCCCGCGCCTGGAATGTGCAAGTCATTTCACCCCTGAGTTGGGAAAATGTCTGGGGCCCTGCCTGAGCCCAGATGAAAACAAGCAGAAGGCCCACCACGACGCATCGTCCCGCGTAGCCGAATGAAGCATTCGCATCCCGGTCCTCAAGGGGCCGTGCAAGCCAAACGGTGGAGCAAACAGCCACTAGATGCCGCTAGCTGTGCTGGCCAAGACTTGTTTATCGGCCTGGCACAAGCCCGTAACATTGACATGTTTTAAATGTATAACACTTTTGCAAGTGCCATTGCTCTGATTCTGCGAATGCAAATGCGGAGACGAATTTGAGCCACAGGCAGAATCTAGAAGGAATGCCAAGGGTCCAATTTTAGGTAGACAGCCACGAAACGTTTTGCAATCCACAGGGCGTAACCTCGGAAGAGCGGAACTCGGTCACGGATCACAAAAACACCGGACTGGGTATGGATCAAAGGCCTAGACATGCCTAGACCTAGAATTCTTCTGAACTTCGCCAAACAAGGAACAGAATCTGGCATGACATTAAGGCTCATTAAGGCTGTTAAGCTACCCGATGTTGGAGTCCTCAGGTGCGACCCACGGCAACCAGTTGGGCCCGCCTCGAGGTGTGCTGCTCATTCTCCACATTCGCGCCACTCGCGGAAGGTGCTCGGACAGCCTGTCCCAAACCAAGGAAAGCCATGGAAGCCATGGCCCCGCTGTACTAACGGAACACCACAGCATAGGGCTTTTGATGGGTGTTGGGGGTATGGCAGGATCCCCCCTTGCCTGGACATACTGAAGCATGGGTATCCTGATGGGTCACGCTGTGAATGCTATAGAGTCTCTATCCTGGTACCAATTTTCCATCTTGCATGACTTTACTCTGCATCCTCGGTCGCCTCGGAGACCCAAAAGTGCTATGGCCAGCAGCACCTTTTCTCCATTTTATACACTGCGAATCGGCAAACTGCAGGCCTATTGGCTCAGGATGGCGTTTAAAAATGTTGGCAATCTCGGCCCAAGGTTTGTAAAAAGTCGATAGCATGCTCCTTGCCTCATCCAGACATCGTTGATAACCGGGCGGTCGGCACTCTGGGTCGTCCATGGTGCTTTGAATTCTCAGCACTCTTCCTAGACCGGTGCAGCGGGAGCCAGGCCACTGCATGACATGCCTGGAGTCAAAGTGCTGGCAAAGAACAAAAACACTACAAAAACACTAGAAACACAAGCGAAATTAGATGGTTGGCGGGGTCTTCCTGCGCCCGTCGCCATAGATTCACTTCTCGGGATATGCCCAGTCCAGGGGCCCTTCAAGGCTCCAGCCAACATCGGAGTCAGAAAGTCCTCTTCTGGTCAACTCTTTCTTCAACATCTCTGCAAAATTGGTGAATCGATCGGTTGAGTCGAGGAGCTGGTATGATCCGTACAACGCACACAGACCCCAGTCTGTGAGCGACGAGATGGTCTTTGGAGATGCAAAGCGCTTGGCAACAGCGGACAGGAGCTCGTCATGGCGCTGTTCCATCTTTGCACATGCCCAAACAACAGTAGGGGGAGTCAGGGACAAGTCCAAGCCCCTGAGTTTTGGAAGTAGTTTCACGATCCGTGACGCGGCCTCTCCCACAAAGCCTGTGTTGCTTCCACTCCCACCCAGAAGGAAAGAACTAACATCTGGCACTGAATCTTGCAAAAGAACCAGGGCCAATAGGCTATTGGACAGAGCTTGTGGGATCATATCTTTGGCCTTGTCTAGGACCTGCGCCACAATCGCAGGCACCACATTCAAGCACGTCAGGTGCATCATCCTTCAATTTTGCAGCTGCCAACAGGACATTGGACAAGTGTTGTGGGATCATATCTTTGGCCTTGCCTGGGACCTCCACCACAATCGCAGGCACCAAATCAAGCACATCAGGTGCATCATCCTTCAAGCTTGCAGCTGCCCACAGGACATTGGACAAGTGTTGTGGGATCATATCTTTGGCCTTGTCTGGGACCTGCGCCACAATCGCAGGCACCACGTTCACCACGTCAGGTTCGTCATCCTTCAATTTGGCAGCTGCCCACAAGACATTGGACAGCTCTTGTGGCTTCATATCTTTGGCCTTGTCTGGGACCTGCGCCACAATCGCAGGCACCACGAGCACGTCGGGTGCATCATCCTTCAAGCCTGCAGCTGCCCACAGGACATTGGACAGCTCTTGTGGCTTCATATCTTTGGCCTTGTCTGGGACCTGCGCCACAATCGCAGGCACCACGTTCACCACGTCAGGTTCGTCATCTTTCAATTTGGCAGCTGCCCACAGGACATTGGACAGCTCTTGTGGGTTCATATCTTTGGCCTTGTCTGGGACCTGCGCCACAATCGCAGGCACCAAATCGAGCACATCCCGATATTCATCAAACAAATGTGCGCTGCTCCAAATCACATTCGCCAGTTCTCGAGCGTGGAGCTGACCTTCTTCAATCATCTTTTGGACTCGGGCATTGAGCTTGGAGAACTTCAGACTGCCAGCCGCTTCTGCCAATTTCCCTGACCTCTTCCAGGTGGCCAATCGGTGATAGGCACATGAGGCGTGAAAGTAGTTGAAGATTGGACCCTCCACGGCCGAGTTTAAAATCTTCACGAATCCTTCTGCTGATTTCGCTCCTTTCATTCTTGCCGTCAACTTCCTGGCTTCAGAATCTTTGCCTCGCGGTCTTCCTCCCCTTGAGGGAGCTCTCTTCTCACTTCTCCTTTCTCTCACCTGCATCGGAATCCTGGTCGGTCTGGGCCGACCCCAGGTGGCACTCTGCACATAGCTGACATCTCCATGGTTCCCAAGGTGAGCCGCTGCCAAAGTCAGCAGCCACAGAACCACTAGGACGGTTCGGGCACCTGGGCACTTCCATCTTCGGCCCATGTGGGTTGAAGGCATTGGCATGATGCAGCGCGCAATGGCAGAAAATGTGGTGTCAAAGGGGGTGGGGGCCAATGGTGAAATATGTGAAGCCTATCTGGGCGTGAGCGGTGCGGGTGCAGATTGCAGATTTCCAATCTTTCGTGTGCGGTTGCTCTTGTGGTTATGAAAATGGCCGAGAAAAGTTGATTTTCAAAGAATGGAAGTGGTGCAGGTCTCTTGGTGATTGCAACTGCAAAATGAAATGGAATGTAGATGTGTCGCTTGATGCTGCTCCAGGGAGAAGTCCAAGGCCGAACCTGTGATGACTCTAAACATCTCTAAACCATGAAACATCTGGAAAACCCTCACAAAACACAACAGAACCGGCCAACCCCATAACAGGGGTAGCCTAAGGTCCTAAATGTCATGGGTTCCCAATGTTGACCCATGCCCAACTGCCCAACTGATGCACGGCCTCTCTGCAGTGACATAGTCCTCGTCTTCCACCCAATGCTCTGGGTCATCAAAGACCACGACCTCAGTTGCACTGGAAAGTCAATGTCCAACTGATCAGTATCTGGAGATATCATGAGACATCTGGTGGTGTTTTTAAAGCTGCCCTAAAATCCCTAGATATATCTATAGATATACAGTACAGGTACAGGGCTGTTCCTTGTTATTTGCCAACCGTGGTTCCTTAAGATCTTTCGATGATTCCCTGGTGCCAATGAAGTCCAGCCACCCTTGGGAGATTCGACGCGGCCACGCCGAAGTAGTTGAAGCCCTCCAGGGTTCCGTCAGCTACGCCGAGATATCCTCACCGCAAATGAAATGATTTTGGTCAGCGAGAAGCCTCCATGAGCGCGTTTTCAACCTGGTTACTTGTCACTGACCTAGTGGGATCCTGACGGGAGCAATGTACTGATGCATTTTACCAAGAAATGGCACAGTCACAGCAGCCAGTCATGAATTTATTGACATCCACCTGTGACATCAATGCAAATTGTGTTTCCCTAAATGCATGTGCACCGACGCAGTATTGGTGCCGTTGCGGTGACATGTCCCAATTCGAATGTCACCCTATGTAGAAGTTCTAATGACAACTATGTGCCGGACCTGACTTTCACCATACCACCAATCATAACTTCGTTGACACGTTCTGTATCTCTCTTAGTCCTCACTAAAATCGGGCCTCACTTTTCCTATGTACCCATCCCATCATGCCCTTTCCATGGCACGTCGGCACCGAGGTGCTGTCGAAAGGGCCGTAACTGTAGAGCTCCATGTTGCCCACGGGAGTCGGCTTGCCCACCTGACTCAGCAAGTGCAATCAAAGCCTAACGGGTCATGTTGTGCCCTGCGGCTATTTTATGCTCTTCCTGGGAAGGATCAAGAGTCAAAATCAGCCGGAAAAAAAGGTGAATTTATCACTGATCACTAAATCATGATTCAACCAACAACTACGAGGACCTAAATGGGATTTTGCATGGTTTCATGCTTTTCAGCACTGGAGCTGTTGCCTTGGACGACGTGAACTCCTCCGCACCTCGCGCAATTGGTTCTCCACCATGATATTTTTCTCAAAGTCATTCAGCTTGATGGCCAAGAGCACCTCACCGGAACTGATTGGTGGTTTTCTCAAAGTGGTGGGGCAATGTGGGGCACCTTGGGGTAGCTTCTCTATCTTCTATGTAGCTCTACACCTCAATCAAGCTCCAGCTGTTGGGAGCGGCGCCTTTACCCTCTACCGAGACCACCAGGGACCGGTACCGCTACTTCCAAGGCACCGTAGGACGCCCTGCACGCAGCCAGGCGTGGACGGAATGGATCGTCAGGGCGCTAATGCCGGGATATTGGTGCCTTGCGGGCTGAAGATGAAGCACAGCCCCAAGAAAGGCAACCAGAACGAATGATGACTATTGCTGATGATCTTTGATCGATCTTTAGTGCCAACTAACTAAACAAAGTGAAAGCTATCCAAAGGCCAAGTTGCTGTTCGACCCACTGGACCAAGTGCGTATCGTTGGATGTCACCTGTTTACATCATGCAGGAGCAGCCTATGCAAGAAGAAGAACCGTCCACGTCATCAAGTGGAGGCTGCTGGTGCCAGGGGGGAAGTGCTGCATGGAGAAATCCTGCTCAAAGTTGGGAATTTCAAAAAAAATCAAGCATGATGCGCTTTCTTGAGCAGGAATTCTCCCCCCGAGCGCTTCAAGAAGACAGCTTTGACCCATCATCACCAAGGTTGCACCTCTTTGCCCGCAACGGCCGCAGCTGCTTTGGCCCGGCCAGGCACTGCCGTCCACTGAAGTGAGGCGGGGGAATAGGATAAAATGTGATCGCCTTGCCCGGCGGCCCAAGGGGATCATTGGGGAAGGGGCCCCCCTGGTTGTCCAAACCGGAAAACACCCATCACTAGGCTGAAGCACTGAAGGCGTCACTTAAAATCCACAGGCAAGAAAGGCCAGACACAGGCCAGTCCCAGCCTGACCCTAGTTCTGGGCAGCTCGGCGTATGGAAGGCACGCAAGGTTTGGTGGTAGTTGGTAGCTGCCTCGCTGGTCCAGCATAGACCACAAGGGCCAAAGGATGCCAAGGGTCAGGTACTGGGGTTGCTAAGGCAGTTTTCCAACCTCTCACCCGTGGTTGTAAATAGCCAGTCGTGGACTTGCACCGAGCGGGGCTTACCCATGACCCAGTTGCCATCCCAAATCTATGGATCACCCTTAACGATGCTATCCTTAGGCTTCTGTTTCCATCATCCATTGAGTTCAGCTCCCTAGCTCCATAGTTCACCACATCGGCGCACCTCCAGGAAGCCTCGAGACAGCACAGCAGCGCACAAAACCAACGCATGGCCATCTTCCTTTTCGAGGCTTTGCAGGCTGCTGCTCGGCAATTTGGCCACCTCGCAAGTGTGTCAAGTTGGGATATCCCTTCAGGACTTGGTCTCCTAATTGGGGACAGGGCATCCTATAAATCTATAAAATTGCAATTCTGATAGGGATCTTGATGACACACCATGTCAACAATGTTTATGAGCCCAGCAGCACGGAGAATATAGGCTTTCATAGAAACAAAAAGTTAGAAAAAAAAACTGAGCAAACCAAAAAAACAAACCAGAAAACCAAAATCAAGGAAAAAACAAAAACAAAACAAGAAAAAAACAAAAAGAAACCAACACGCCAACAAGAAAAACAAGAAAAAGAATTAAACAAAAACTGACGAAAATGCAGGTTTTGTTTTTTTTGTTTCTTGTTATTTTTTGTGTTTTTTTTCTGGTGACTCTTCCTGTCGAGTTGCTTTTTTGGTGATTCTGTTTTTGATTGTGTTTTAGTTTAATGTTTTTTTCATGTTTTGCTAAAATATGCTAAAATCAATTTTCTCTGTTCCACACGGGGTCATAAAACAATGTTCCAAGACAATATTCAACCCAGGTTCGGCATATCTTTGGACAAAACTCAACATCAGTCTTGGCAACGGACCAGCGGCTGCATTGCCCTCTGCACGAAGCTCTGCATGAGGTCCTGATCGAAATGTCATCAGCCAGGATGGCTCAAGAGTCTGAACGTCCTCCCGCCCCAGGTTCCTTTCAAGACCATCCATGACCATCCATGAACGCTGTCCATCCATCAATTATCATCAACAATTGGGGCTCAAAATGACTAGTGACTAAGACTAAGATTGATCATGAATGCCTCAAAATTATGGGGATAATTAATAACGTGTATATAAATACTTGTAACTTATATACGCTCCAGTAAATTAAGATAGACCCTGCCAAAGGGGTGGAAGATCAGTTTCCACTAAAGAAATGACTGCTGTATTTTCATGGTAATTACTGGAGGGTATCTGTGATCAAATTACCCAGCGTATAGAGCCCAAAGATCCGCTCCTTTTCCCACAAGTTCTGGTACTTCGTCATGGCTTCCTCGCGCCTGGCTCCACCCGATCATTGACCCATAAGATCTCCATCTGGGCCCCTAAGATAGACCCAAGACTAAGCCACAGTTTCTAGGCTGGTATATACTAATGATGATTGTTAATAATATTAAATTCATATTAGGTGGCTGCTTTCCTTAAAACAGCTAAAACCGGATCCGCTGCACCATGGAAAATGATGTGTTGCATGTGGTACTGTGGTAAACCCAATGAACCGGCCCCCTTTTTACGAGAAATGAATGGATGTTTCGTTATTTTTCCCTACCAAAGGTTCACAGTTGAGTCACATTTTGCCATGGCAAAGCTGGCGCCTGTAGGGAACGCGACGTCCTTGCTCAATAAGGACTTCATGCGGGATCCACACCTTCTGCTTCGTTTCCGTCTCCACCTTCAAGTACTTACTGGTTTTGGTGAGGAACACCCACCGAGCCACTCAAAAAATTGAGCAATTGGCAATTCCTTTAATCAATCGCGTTAATTCATGTTCATGTCCATGTTTCATGCTGATTCTCGCTACAACATCTGCAACCCTTCCAGCCTGCACCGTCATATCCTTACCATCCACCTGCAAGATGATCACCTCTTTTCCCAGCAAGGCCAGCCGGGACTTGTCCCTCTCAGCGCCGAGCCCTGCAAGACGACTGGCTCGCAACAGGAACGCGGAATCGCTGTCGACCACCTCAGGAAGGTTTCCAGATGTTTCCAGGGCTCCTGGTGCCCCATGGGCCCCATGACATCTACGGCATCTACGGCTCTGAGCTCGGTACCACCGTCTTCCCAACAAGCTCATCCAAGGATTCGGGCTGCTTCCGCCAGAAGAGCAAACATGGGAAGCCCTTGAGGTTGAAGTGCGTCCGCATCGCGGCCTTGTTGCTGGTGCAGTCCACATGTCCAAGAACCACCTGGGCCAGGGATCATCAGAAATCCTGCTGCTTAAACATCACCCAGCAGGGCTCCCAACATGCCACGAGATCGTCGTAAGTTCATATTTTTTCCCTTGGTGATTGAACCACCCATCATAAAACTCAATCCTGCCCCTTCAATTCGTAGTTCATCCCCAATTCAAGGATCTCAAAGATGATATAAGATGATATCACATCAAATTTCAACCTGAAAACCTCCAAAACCCATCGGATCATCCTTTGAAGCTACCCTTGCCCCCCATCCCCAAGCCATCCGCCACGGCACGGCTTCCTTGGTCAACGCCTTGGCCACGAGGTCCAGTTCCGGCAGCGCCTTCCGGCAGTGCGGGCAGTTGGCGTCGTGCAGCAGCAGCGCCACGTGCCGCGAGGGCCGCTGCTCCAGGAGGAACTCCTCGGTGCTCCGCACGGAGTCGTTGATGGAGGATAGGATGGGCTACTGGCACTGGATCTGCAAAATATCTGCTTACGTACTGATTTAATTTTTAAACTATTTAATTTAGACCAATATCTGTTTATAGCTACTGTTTCTGAACCCAAACCATATGTTTGTTGAGTAGGTACATTCGAAAAAATGATGTCGGCAAAGCGAGTATGCTTAATCATGACCCTGATGGAAAATCTCGAACCAAAGGGTCAAAGACCAATGCGTTCAAGTTCGGGGTGCGCAGAAACTCACTTTTACCAGTTTCCATCTCAAAAATATTCCTGACTTGAAAGCCAATCATTCCGCTGTTTGGAGGGATGGAAACCACCAACCAGATCAACCAGCCTATTTTCCACTTCCGAGTCTCGGAAATCTTCTGCACATCGCCTTCTACGGCCTTCAAGTCTGGGCTTTTCTTGGCCGTTCTATAGAGCTCCACATCCAGATCAGCACTCACAAACCAGCTGAGCGGGCAAAGGAACCATGGCACAACCCTAAGCAGAGCCATCTGGTGAGTTTCTGCAGCTTACAGTCCTAGTCGTAGCTGGGAATGTGTTCTCAAAACCACCATCTATATTTAACCAATGATGGCAACAATCATAGGGTTTCAAACCTCAGTTATAAGTTCCCAAGTGGCTGGTCAGCATGTTCCTTCTGCACTTCCGTATGATGTCAACAAATGCCGTGTCTGTCATGTCAAGCACCTTCTGCTGACACATCGCTGCCATGTCTCCTACGTTATGGGGCTAATATCTTGAGGCATGAGTCGCATGCATGTCCAAATAAAGATCAAGTCGTCAAGTTTCGCATGATGCAGTCAAAAGTCAATCCCATCCGTGTCCAACCCAAAGTAAATCCCGCCCATCACCACTTCTATACCGTACTCTACATTGCTGCATAAATCGGGAAGGAAAAAACGAATACTCAAAACTCTTGTCACACCTACATAATGTTACAAAATTCCTCCTAAAATCAAAGCTCACAATATGTGAGCTTTGAAATTTCGGGACCCCCCAAATGGCCATTGCCATAAAATGATGATCACCCATCATGTAATAAACCTTGATAAACCTTGATAAACCTTGATAAACCTTGATAAACCATGATAAACCATGATAAACCTATATGTTCATAGAAAAATTCCTATGCTGTCACCGCTTTCATCGAAAAAAAACATGGGAAAATCGCCCCGGATTCTTCACGGTTCCCGCCTCGCCGCGGTGGGCTGACGGTCCGCGCCGGCAAACGTGTGGCCTCAGTGACGACTGTCAATTGCCACAGTGTGGCGAGTCGCATTTACATATTCAGATATATATATATACATCTCAAAGTGTTATATGAAACTCGATACTACTCGCTCTTCCGCAGCTTTCCTTTTTTACAGCACTGCCAATGTCAATCACATTTCACCTGCAATCCTCAGGTTTGCTTTGGGTCGTCACGTTGTGACATGTACATAGCCTCAGACCAGTATCACCACTGGTCAGCTGCCTGGCAACCCAGGCTGGAACCTGCTCAGCAGGTATCACCCATCCCTTAAACCTAAGGGAGGGAAGGCTCTCTTGGTCGCCCCAAGAGAGGGTCCCCGAAAGAGGCTATGGACTCGCCTGCCGTGCAGGCTCCCCTAACCTAGGCGGACATCTCCACGGGAGGTCGGCTCTTAGGGTTGGGAGGGTGGGGAAAGAAAACAGCAATGAATGCTATTTTGGTTCAAGTTTACTTGAGCCAAAATGATAGCATTCATTGAACACTTGAAGATGATACATGCACACCCAAGCCTGCCAAACTCGATGCATGGGTACATCTCAAAGTGTTATATGAAACTCGATACTACTCGCTCTTCCGCAGCTTTCCTTTTTCACAGCACTGCCAATGTCAATCACATTTCACCTGCAATCCTCAGGTTTGCTTTGGGTCGTCACGTTGTGACATGTACATAGCCTCAGACCAGTATCACCACTGGTCAGCTGCCTGGCAACCCAGGCTGGAACCTGCTCAGCAGGTATCACCCAATGCACTCAAATCCCCAAAGCACTATAGGAATTCAAAGGTGAGAATGACAGCGACGAACGGCAGCTGGAAAAAGATAGTGGGAAGGTACGACGAATAAAAGTCAAAACCATGGCATCGCCACCATGGGTCCTCAGCGCCGAGGCGGCTGATGTCATCAGCCCAGTTGCTCTTGCTCTGGACGTACTCCCAGTAACCCTGGGCTCGCAGTGCAAACAGAGCTAGATGGATCAAATGACCTAGCTTGGCTAAGTCGGCATTGCTAGAACGTCCTCTCACTAGCGTCATGACGGCTGCAACATTGTCCAGAAACCAAAGCCCGTGTCGATTTCGAAACAGGTCAGGTCGTTCCACTAAGGCGTACAGCACCATCGAGAGCTCCAACTGGGCGATGTGTGTGTGTCTGCAGGCTGCCATAATTTCTGAAGCTCTACACAATTGTTAGCTACAAAACTGTGACGTATCTGGGATCCGTCATGCTGGAAAAAGATGAGGTGAAAACCTCCGGAACCTGGATTGTCAGCTTCCACCGCAGCATCCGAAGCAGCAAGGAATCGTAGGTTGTCCAGGTGAAGAACGGGAAACTCCCGTTTTGGCTGAAAGCGCATCACTGCTTCGATCACCTCGAAGCATGCTTCAATCTCAGGGGTTACCGCTGTAGTGGTTTCATCCTGTCTGGCTTTGATTGCCATCAGGCCACCATATCCTACACGGCCATAAATACCCTGCTCCAGGAAATTCGCTAGGCCATACAACTTCGCAGCTGTGCCACGGCTGAAGTGACCTGTAGTCCTGGCCGTAGTGAGGAGGTCGCGAACTTTATCATGAAGGCGTTCACGGGCCCAAAACCGGACATGCCCTGTCTGGTTGATGCAGTCGAGGTCATGGGTTAGGCCCAAAAAGGTGCCTGTGCTCTTCATTGACTGCTTCTTGTCCTCAGCAAAGGGGGAGCCGATCAGCTTGCAAAGCTGGTTCATGGCCCATTGTCCGGAGCCTTTGGAAGAACGTAGGTCGGTGATGGTCGCATCGTCGAAGTAAAGAGATGTCAAAACTTGGCAAAAACGCCTGGCTAGAGCTTCCAACAACCGGGAAAAGCGGTTGAATGACGTGACCGCTAACGGAAGTCCAAAAAGGAGGCCTGCATAGACCTGATATGCTGGAGTTTGCCATTCATGGTGGTACCACACCACCACACAGCCTAAGCTTTCCTGCATCGCCATGGGGCAATACCGGTAGGCTGATGGGAGATCTTCTTGGCCTGTCTCCCAGGCATCGTTGGCGAAGAAGTGGTCGATGTCCTCGGCTGTCCATTTGTGCATCACCAAACGAATGTGCTGGGCCGGGCGCAAAGGGCTGCACAAGGTGAGCTTGTTGGCATCAGAGGAGAGGGCTGATTGTCCTCCAGTGTCGCCATTGTCGATCACTCTCTGCTTGCCAGAGCTCTGCGTGATGACACAACGAGGGATCAAACGATGTGCTCGATTGCCAATGAGCCGCAAAAACTCGGCTCGTCGCAGAGGTGCGGTGCAAAAACCGTTGTTGGCATCCTCCATGGATTGTTGCAAGAGAAACTCGTCATCTTTGCCTGCTCGCAGCTGTTTCAGGATGTGCTGGTTGTGCTCCTGCCATCCATCCAAAACATCTGCCATGCTGATCACCTCAGCCGGCTGCTGGGGAAAAATTCCATAGGGTGGCGCGTAGCCCACCGCCGGCAAACCACAGATCAAGCCAAAGGGGAAGCTAGTGTCAGCCCAAGATGTCAACACCATCAACAATGCAATGAGCCCCATATCTCGATGTTTTGTGACTTGCTGCACGGCGGTTTCTTGAAACGCTCTCAAGTGGAGGGTCACCCCCTCCCAGCGTCTCTTCAGCTCGCGCAGTGCCCCCACTGCCTGTTGCCTCCACGGCCTCAGCGATTTGGTCGGGGATGCATATGCCTCGGCCACGAACTCCAAGTCCATGTCGGAGACTGGAAGGTCTTCATATGGCAAAGGCCGCTGGGCCCGTTGGAGGGCTTGGTGGAAATGATCATCTGGCTCCAGGTTGAACGCCAGGAGTGGTGGTAGTGCGGCTCTATGCGTCATTGCACCGACTTGGCATCCATCTCCAATTCGGGCCATTTGCCTCACGGACCCCGCAGCAAGGTGGGGGACTAAAGGACCGTCCCAAGCCTCACCACGCTCTGCCAACCATTCTGCGTAGGAACAAAACGGCGGGCTGTTGATGAGGTCCTCCACCATCGCAAACTTGTAGCTCCTGAACCAATGCTCGGGGAAAAGCTTGCGAAAGGCCAGCACTACTGCCTCTTGGCTCATCATGGGTAGGGCTACTCCTTTGGGGATCGCTTGAATACCTTGCAACAATGTAACTGCCCGGCTCCATTTGCCATCTGTGCCTCTGCTGCCTGGGTCGCCCCCAGGAGCCATGGCATCGAAGTAGAGTCCAATGAGAAGATCGGCCTCGCAAAGTTGCTCCATGGGACAGTCGCAAGCTAAGGCCATGCCCTTGAGCTCATGCAGGGCGTCCCACAACGGCGATGTGCGGATATGGACAATGTACCGTGCATGCCATTCTCCAGCCTCGCAATTGTGGCCTGGTGTCCAAGGCGATTTCCACTTGGTCGTCGTCAGCCGATGGTGGAAGCTGCCTCGCCCGACATAGATTGTCTGGTGCGGCAACTTGTCCTTCTCGAGCATGACGTCCTGTGCGAGCTTCCTGACTGGTAACCCCGGTCGTTCGGCTCGCAGGGATTCTGTCAGCCCGAGTGTCACCGCCAAAGGTGCCATGGCCCACTCTCGCATTGCGCGAGGGTCCATGTCCAGCCAATGCTCCCGTCGCCCCACAGCCAGAAATGTGGGCATGCGAGGAACTTGCAACTTGGCCATCCCTCGACGGGCTGCCCACCAACTCGCTGAGACTGCAATGGAGAAAGCAAGGATTGCCGTGTACTCTGCCTCTTCTTTAGAAGGGTAAACTCTGATGCCCTCAGATGTGTAGGGGGTCCATTCTTGTGGGTCATGCACGTGGTGGCAATTGGCTGGGGGCCATCGCTGGATCTCCTCCACATTGTGCCGCAACACCTGATGCTTGCAACGTGCGCCACCTAAGGTGCATGCTGCGTACGATGTGTCAACCCATTGTCCAGACTCCCACATGGTCACCTCTGCTGAAGTCCACCAGTGCAAAGAACGGGCAGGATTCTCTCGTACACTGCCTCCACCTCTGTCTCTCAGCTTCTGGATCTCTCCCAAGACGTAGTTGCATGCCTTGTTGTCCATGTCAACCCTTTTGGCATCTCTGCCAGTCAAATGAGGCAGGCCATCTGGGTAGACTTCAGAGCGGAGAGGGCCAGGTGCTGGCCTGCCATCTTCGAACTTCCGAGGAATCTCTCTGGCTCGGCTCTTGGTGGAGCAATCTATGGCCGCTGCAATGAAGATCACCTCTTCAAGTTGCTTGCTCAAAGATCGTTGCCTGCGCTCGTCCGAGAGGTCATGG